GTATGTATAATAGGTGTGAGGAAAAGAATCCTCAGTGTATGCCGAGCTTATGGCATGAAACGAGTTGGTTTTAAAAAAGGGAAATAAAATATAGAAACAAATTTGGAATAAATATTTTTTTTAATATATTCGATATCAAAAACAAATTCTTAAAAGCCAAATGATTTAAAAAAACGTTCCCATTAAAGTTCAATACCGATATAGCGGTGTTTCGAGGACATAACTTTAAAATTGAATACCATAAGTCTCCAGTGAAAAAGATTTTGTTAGTTTTTCAAATTTGTAATTTTTGAGTCATCATTTATCATATTGCAATGTCAGTGTTAATTTTTTGATCAGTTGAAGATTTATATATCTGAAATTATGACCTGAATATCGCTCTTATGGGTTAAAACAAACCATGAAAGTATCAATACTGTAATTGCTGAGGTGTTAACTTCCATAACGTATTGCTGTTCAAAACATATGCATTACATATCAACTTAGCCTCCAATAATTTTAACTTTGAACCCCAACCAACTCAGAGATATTCTCAACGTTATCGCCTCAATAAGTTAAATATAATATGAAAGGTAAGAAACATATTCTTTTCCCTAGGTATATCTATTGGAAGAACCGAAAAGTCCATGAAACTGTATAGAGGTGTTTCCATCTTTTACGCCGGTCTGTGAACATATATATTAATCTAGAGACTACTTTTATTGCCCAGAAAAAAAAAAACAGATATCTTTCCAGCATTTTCCATCACTTGTTCGGATTGCAAGAATTTCACCACGATTTTTGCATTAGAATCGTCAATTACCGGATTATTGCTGTCGTTCGTGATTTCAAATTACTCCACAAAAAGCAGTCCCGGCTATCCGTTACAACGATATTAGGAACTATATAACAGGTATACGTACAGACGAAATTTTATTCGGCTAAGAACTGTCAACTCGCTAGTACCCTCCAAATTATTGGGAAAATATTTTCTGCTGCTACAACAACAATAATATCACTAAAATAGCCTGGTGGTCAAGCCTAAAAATCTGAGTGGACGGTCAATTTCAACACTTATTGACTTTAGACGTCCAGGGAATTGGTTGCAGAAAATGATAATAAGACGTTTGATCCGCAGTATTGAAATCAATGTCCGTAACCATATTCTCATATATTAATGGACAGATAATGAGCAGCCATATTTGACTTTTTCTTTTTATATCCTGAACAGTGTATCTTAATTTAGCAAAGAAGTTCGTAACACCTAGAAGAAAACGTCGGAGACCCTATAAAAAAAGAAAAAATATACATATATATGATCAGTGTGAGGAGCTGTGTTGATTGAGTCATGTCCCTCTGTTTGTCTGTTCATGATATATTATCGTTTAGAATAGATATCGTTTCGAAATTTTGCACACTTCTTTTCGCTCCAAGGAGCTGCCCTTTTGTCGAAACCGCCGATATCGGACTACTGTAGCATACAGCTGCCATAAAAACTGAACGATCAAAATCAAATTCTTGCGGAGAACATTTTTTTTCTCGACGCGTTATCTTCACGAAAATAGAAATAGATATTATCCAAAGCAAGGGTACAATCTCCGAAGAAATTGTTCAGAACAGACCCCTATAGCATATAGCTGCTATACCCACCGACTAATCAAATTCAAGACAAAGATCATTTTATACCCTTTTATGTTATAAGAAATGCATGCTTTTTCTTTTTTTGTATTATGGAAAACTTTTCCATTTTTAGTTTTCATATTTTTATGAGCTTTAATTTTACCTTTAACTCAACATTAAGACAAGACTTAAAGTCATAGCTTAGTAAGTCAACCATTCAGATTACCTTTTCATTTATTTTTCCATTTTTATTTTCTAATGTTTGCAAATTTGCCCTTCACCTAACTGCTCAAAAAAGTTATAGTTAATTTCTCTTCAAACTTGCTTTACAGTCATAATTTCGAAAAAGAAGAAAACAATAGCAATGAAAAGTAATATATTAAAAAAAAAACCCCTATGATACATCAACTGTTAGTAAGTGGCTTATGGCTGGACGTTTTTATGCGCAATGAGTATTTGCCACCACAAAAACCGCAGAATATTGAGTACTGAAGACGGGATAAGTCGACTTCATTGCAAATCAAAAAATCATATATACTTTTATAGCTATATATGAGAGATTTATGTATGTTTTACTATTCCTAAGCAACCCTGCAAACGCTCCATCGCTAAACGTTGTGCCAGTCGCTTCCCACCGCCTTCAGTTCCATACGCCTTCCCCCGCTGCAGCTGTCAATGCCGGTTAACAGTTTTCTATTCTCCAATTGAACATTGCATTAATTTCTATTTTGCTTTTGGCTTTTCGTTTTAGTTTTAGTTTAAAGCCTTTTACTATTTTATTGTTTTTGTTTTTGTTTTATGGTCGTGTCAGCTCATTACAAACACATTAAAAACCGCATACAGCTCCAGGTCATAAAACAATAAAAAAAAAAAAAACGAGGAAAAACAATAGTTTGCGGCTACCACATTGAGGCGCTTGGCTGGTGGCAACTGCCGTTGCAGTCGACTATTTGCAGTCCCGAACTCCCTTACTCCCCGACACAAACAGACTTGTAAGCATAAGGGTAAGAAAGTCTATAAAAGTCTTGTTGTTTTTGTTGGAGTTGTTATTTTTATTGTTGTTGTTATTGTTGTTGCTGTCGCGTAACTATGGCAAAAAGGAAAATGCAAGCCACAACAACCGCTGCCACCATTTATGGGCAAAACCAACTGCAACAATAACAATAATGCTAACAACAACAGCAACAACACGAACAAAAACAACAAAAGCAGTAGCAGCAACAGCGTTAAATGCTTGCAACTTTTGCCTCAACCATTGTTACCTTAACAAATATCGTTTTCATTTTATTTCTTCTATGTTGTTGCTATTATTTTCTTTAGCTTCTTTATGGTTAGCTGGAATACTATTTTGCTGTCGACATACATTCGCGTAAATGTTCTGTGAACGTTAACGACATGTCAACTACTGTTATTGTTGGTCGCCGCGCACATCCGTAGCAGCTAAATTATGTTGTTGCTGACGATTGTTGTTGTAGATACAATAGTTGGTTAGCTGTGACTGCTACCAATGGTTGGTGAACGATGCCCAGTTGGTTGGTGGTTATTGCTTCGTGCCGTGGAAAGCGCTCCGAGGCATTTATGTGCTCAAATGTGACAGCAGCAACAATAACAACTCAGCGCCAATAATATTGACAACAAAAGCAGTACGAGTATATTAGGCAGCATAAAAAGCAAAAAAAAAAAAAAAACAAATACTGAATTAATAAAAAGTAGTTTTGTGCAAAAAAGGCAAAGGCAAACACGCAAAGACACCACAGTGAAATGTTGACGGAAGAAAGCATGCGATTGTTTAGTGCAACCTTATGCGCATACCAAGAACTGTTTATAGCAATAACACTGTTATTACAAATATATGTACGTATCATTCTTAATGTAGATTGTGCTTGAAAAATGGTTCAACAGAGTTTTCCATTAAATGAAAAGAGGCGCCCTCGTGTTAGACGGCAGATAATATATACAGCATCAAGAATTTTAAATCGGAATAATTTAGATTTATTAAACCCAACACTTTGCAACGTCAACAACTTTCCCAGCAACCCAAAATATACCCACAAGCTATCTTAACCTTAATTCCTATTCTCTTTACCAGCCAAAATTTAAAGACTACTATGTATTGCCAGACCAGTCAAACTCTGAATGAAGTATAAATTTTAAACTGCTGCGAAATATGGGAGACCGTGTCTCGCTTGTCATATTTTATACCCTGAACAGGGTATATTAAGCTTGCCATGAATTTTGTAACAACCAGAAGGGCACGTCGGAGACCTTATAAAATATGTATGTATATATGGTAAATGACCAGCATGACGTACTGAGTCGATTTAGCCATGTCTGTCTGTCCCTCTGTCTCTCTGTATATACGCGAACTAGTCACTCAGTTTTGGAGATATCGATCTGCAATTTCCGAAGAAATTGTTCAGATCGTATCGCTATAGCATATAGCTGGCATACAAACTGACCGTTCACAGTTTTTGCAACGAATCTTTGTATTTGTGAAGGGTATTATAGCTTCGCTGCAACCGCAGTTAACGTTTTTATCTTGCTCACTGTAAATAGTTTCATTTGTCTCCCTTCGCCGTTCGCTTATTCATTCTTCGCTTTTAAATACTTTCACTGTCACTTTGCATACTTCAAATTTAATGCCACTGTACAATTTCCCTTGACCTTTTAGTCCGCAAAGGAAGAGTTTCACTGTTCGATAATAACTTTGCGCTTTTTTCGACAATTCACTAAAGAAAATATATTGTACCCTTCATGTACAGACTGTTGTTCCTCCTTCCACGGCTACAGAATCATTGAAAATGTTGCAGAAGTATTTTGTGGTGTCTTCCTTATCACTAACACGAGCATTTCTTGAACTTGACTCGTGCCAGGCGTCCATCCACCTCTGTTAATGATTCGTTAAAAATTCGTACATATCTTATCGATCAACCCAAGGCATTTCGGTTAATGTTTTGGGTATGAATGCTAGACTTCTACTGGAAGACCAGAATCTTTTGCATAAACAATGTCGAGTAGAGATCGCAAAAGAGATGCCTGACAATTGGATCACAAATAAACGTGTTTTGAGTGAACCTAATCTAACGGATGGTTTAAAGTCGTCAATATATATTTTTTAAGGCAACCCTGTTTATCCGATTTACGTATACTCTACGTAATGCGTAATGAATGTTGGAACACAGAATTTCTGTGAGGACCTCAAAGAATCTCAGAAAGAAAATTCAACTCTTCAATCTGAAATATTGGCAAGTGCTATATAAATCATGTGGCAACATGGTACACTCTAAATTATCTAGATATACTTATAATACGAGTAGACGTACATATATTTCGATAAAGAATATTTCATTCTAACATATCCATCTAATGTGAGCTCATATTTTTTAGATATCAAAATAAATCTACAACTCATAAGTATCACTTAGCTTTACCATTCTCAATATACTTAGGTATAATCGAATGTACTTACGTTTCGGAAATAATGGCGGTCGATAGCGTCCACTGCCGCCGCTGCTACTGCCAATATTTACGCTTGTATTGCCATTGCAATTGTTGTTGCTGTTTATGTTGTTGCTATTAAAATTATGATTACTGCCAGTGCCACTGCCACTATTGCTGCTATTGATGCTGTTGATAATGCTAGCAATATTGTTGTTGCCATTGGTTAGTATGCCATTACCGGTGCTATTGCCACTGCGTTCGCCAACACTCCGCTCTGCGCCGCCACTACCAACACTGCTTGCGCTGCCAACGCTGTTGCTGTGATGACTGCTCAAGCTGAAGTTGCTACTTCTTTCCGACTGTTGTTGCTGCTGTGATTGCGAACGCTGCAATATGACCTCGGTGACGGTGTTGGTGCCGCCGCCACCAGTCGCTGGTGACGATGCCAATGCACCGCCACCGAAGAGGCGTCGTTGCTGTAGAAAAGCCGTTTTCTTGCTGTTGTTCAACGTTGACGGAAAGTTGTTGTCGTAGTTGTTGTTGGTATGGTTGTAGGCGAGCTTTTGTTGTTTTCTTTATTTTTTTCTCGTTTCTACGCGAAATTGTTTGTTTGGCTTTGATTTTGCGCGATTTTGCAATGCTGCTTGCTTGTTGTTGTTGTTGTTTGATATCTGTTTGAATTTTTTATTTACTTTTTTTACACATTTGTGTTTAATTTATTTACTATTTGTTTTGTTGAATTTTTTTTAATGCCTGCAATTAAATATTTACGTTGCTGTTGTATTTGCAGCTTGTTTCCACTTGCTTTCGGTTTTTATTTATTTATATTTATTTTGTATTTGTTTTTATTTTTTTGTTTGTCTCCGTTTGTGTGCTTAACCTATCGCTTAACTCCGCAGCTCATTAAATTTCCGACATCAGCCACATTTTATACCCATTTGTTCGCAATTCTGTTTACCAATTCTGATTATTTTTGCCCGCTATCTTGTTGGTGCTTTTATTGCAACTATAATGCCGACACTTAACACTCTACATGCGTATTTTGCAAAGTTGTTGTATATCTGTTGTAGTAAATTCGCTAATTTTTTGTTTTTCTTTATTCGCAATTCTATTTTTGGCTCTTTTCTAAATTAATTTCTTCAGAATTTTTTCGATTTTAAGCAATTCTTGATTGCAATTATCGATAATAGAGTACATTTGGTCATAAAAACAGTTTCTGTTTATTTGGAAGAAGTATCAAGAATATCAAACTAAGATTTTAGACTGCAACATAGCCAAGTTGCACACAAATAAATGAAAGATTGACAAGTTAACTTCATTTTAATCTGCAATCTCGATAAATTACACGGTGATTCTTTTATTTTTTCAACCCACCCTTTTGATTGGTTTTCCATATTCGCTGAACTACCTCCATTGATTATTTTATAGAAGATCTGATTCTGACGATTTTATTTACTCTTGATACTTATAGCAATTCTAGCATAGTTTCTAGATTTAAAATTGTATTAAAATATATTGTTTTCCAGATCAAATAAATGCAGTACTATTATTCCTCCGAGTTAATTCAAAACTGACGTGTTTATACAGAGATACTTCTTTTTTTAACTATTTTTTCAGATTATGTTAATTAGAAGAAACTTTTCTGTGAGAGTCAGTTCTTGAAAAAGTACACTGCTATTAGTCACTCGAGTAAAAAGCCAGTCCAAATAAAATGATGAAGAAAACTGCTACTAAATACGGTTTCTATTAGAAATACAGAAAATAAATGTGATTTTTACTTATGTGATTCGACAATTGGTTAAAAACAGCTTCAACAGATCTAAGTAGCAAAACGTTCTAGTCTTCCAAATAAATGCATAACCTTAGTTACAAAACGGCTTTTCGGATATCAAAGCCCTTTATACCTATTATATGTCACGATTCTCAGTAAATTATAAACAAAAAACTGTCATGGATTTTGCCGGGACAAATATGGACCTAAGCTTAGAACCTAGAAAGTTTAGTTTTGAACTTCTTTAAAAGAGATTAATAGGGAAAAATAAAGTTTTATTGCTGAGAGTTTTACGGAGTTAGCTAGATCTTCCAAAAACAAGAAAAGTTACACTCATAGTTTTTAAATCCAATTACTTCATTTAATTTAAGATATCGTATCGTATGAGGTCAGTTGATTCAATAACGAGTGAGAGAGGATTTTCCAGAGCGATAATCTGCATATTAAGAAATCTTCATAGAAAATATGAGCTTATACCTAATAATTAAATGAATTTCGGTTACATCCATCTTACACTTATAAAATATAAGCACGACCTTAATATGAAGAAGACTAATGATATAGGTCACATGCACGATCTGATCGCAATTAATGATTGCTTTGGATTTTTTTTTTCTGGAATTTGGATTTGTTGCTCTCCTACACTTAGTTTATTGCCAACATTTATTTTTTACATGAAAAACACTTTTCTTAAACCTTTTTTTATTTACTTTATATTTCGTATGCTCTTAGTTTCGGTCTGCGTCCATTTATGGTCGCTGTCTTATTCAGACAAACGACATTTTTGCTAACTATTTCGGCTGCTAAATTATTTCATGCCAAAATGGCGAATTGCGTACTGAAGCAAAAGAATTTATATAGTGATTGGCTATTCTGGAGTTTTAGTTTAATAAACGCGACAGTTGCAAAAACTTTGTTATGTGACTTTAAAGGCTACGGCGACTTTCGTGCGCAATTAAAGATGGTCAATATATAGATTTTGTTAGCTAACTTCCATACATGTACATGAATTATTGCGTACATTTTTACTAAGTCTATTTAAAAATGTATTTTCCCATTATATTATTTCTATTTTATTATTTAAAAGTTATCATAGGAGTCACTGACGCAGATTCGGACTTTGAAACTATCATTATTGACTATCACACACACATAGATAAAGCACCTATTCAAAAATTTAAGGAAAAGATATGGATTTGAAATTTTTCGGTTATATAATTACTCAGTAAAAATGAGAAAGCAAGCAGGTTAAAAGATCGTTGTTGTTACATGCGCCAACAGGGATTTCACTTGGACAGCTTAGAATGCCGGTCCGTTGTGATATATTGATCATAAAGACCCTCAAAAATCGACAAGCAGTATGAGCCTATCACAAATTTGTTGAAGCGGCTAATATCAGTTTCGACTACTTCTCCTGGTTCGCCGAAAGTATGACTGCTGTGATGTTCTGCCACTGTCTTGAAAACGCTGAACAACACAAAAAAGTTTGATAATGAATAAGCTTGATAAGTTTAATAGTGAGAACAGACACTCCTTGATTAACTTTGAGCCCACAGTGAGTGAGCTCAACGCTAGTACTGCCGTTCTACTGTCGGAGTGAATGTAAGTAGTGAATAAAAATTAGCCCAGAACCACGCCTACTTTCATATAACTTTACTTTAAATTCTACTAAATAATTTTACTCCAAAATATAAAGACAGCTAAACTATGGATACGGTTATCATATTAACTCTTAGCACATAAATGTTGTTCAATTTATATATAAGTATATGCTGACTTAGTGAAAAATTTACATATTATATCTTCCCCATATCCTTTGTATCATATTTCACAATAAATCTCAGTATATTTAATACTGGTTATTTTACTTTCCATATGGCCATAAAATATAATATACATATGTATATAATATTCGCTGCCATCCGAACTCAACCCTTCAATACTTGTTTAGAAAAGGTGGTAACCCAATTCCAAAGCTTAATTGAGGATATAATATATATGTAGCTCTATAATATATATTTATAAAGCTTTTACATATTTTCGATTACCGAATTTACAACGCAGTTCACTTTTGAGCTTAATTTTTTAAAAACAAATTTACATCAAATAGTTTGCTTATTTATGAAAATTTGTAAAAACTACAATATTTCAAATTACGTATAAAAAATTGGAAAAGAAGCAGTTTAGAATTTTTTCCATCAGTTCACTGCTTTAAATTTACATAATGCCAAATTCGCATATATGTAAATGAGCATATAGACACTTATACTCGTACAGCTATTTCCGATTTATAAGCCAGTCAAATGTCCTTGAAAACTACGCACACACTTGCACAAAAGGCACCTATTTTGTATATGCATGTGTGCACGGATACTGCATATAGTTCGCATATTGCAATTGTAGGATGCAATTGCCAGCGTGTCACATTTGCACATGCGTATAGCTTGCTGCACAAACACACACGTACATACATATGTACTTTATTAGGTCTCTATTTGATGTGGCACTCAGATTCACTTGAAATTGTAAGATAAAACCGTTATTTGCACACTTTTTTTTATTTATTTAAACTTAACACATTCATTATAACGGCTTTTCATTGCTATTTATCGCTCGATAACACGAATTATTTATGCAGGTATTTAAGATATTTACTTTAGCCACACAGCTGTCAAGAAAGAACAGCATTACAAACTGATTACCTGGAATTGAATTGCCATAACATATGGAGTATTGTATTTATTTTCGCAGATTTCGCAGAGCACAAGAATAATTAATTAAATATTTTTTTTAATATATTTTTTACAAAATATATTTTAATTTTTTTTTATATATTTTTTTTAAATTTTTTTTATAAAATATTTATAGATTGTTTTTTTTTTACCAATTTCAGAGCCTTTTTATTTATTTATAAATATTATACTTTCTTAGCAATTTTCTATGCAAATAATTAATATGAATTATTAATTTGCACACACTCACGCGTGCTGCACGCGAAACACTGTTATCTCACCTTGGCCTACCCCAGCGCACTATAGCACTGTGTCTCGCTGACGAATTCAAGAATCACAAAGTTGTAAGTTTCAACGTGTTTTCGAAAATTCACGATGCGCCACTTGCGTTCGCTTGTTAGAAAATGCACAAAAAAAAAACAAAAACTCGATATGAACTCAAGGGTTGTTTGCTTGTCACTTTTGTTGTTGTTATTACTATAGTATGCGATGCACCATCACCACCATCAACAAGAACATTACCCGCCAGTGGTTCATCACACAACTTTAAGGGGTGGCAATGCGTTTCAGTCGCTGCTGTTGTTATTGTTATTATTACCACTATGAAATGTGTGCCGTATTGTGCCACCTCTACGTGCTGAGCATGACTCTCCGCCACAATTTTAGTCAAACACGTGTAAACACCGCAACAATTCCGAATGAACTGAGGCCACAATGAAGCTGACTAAAGCAATAGCCTGTCGTTAGAAGTCATAGCTTGAGCACCAATTGCGCTAGCAGCTGATGAGCGTAGTGCAGAGAGCGTTGCCGATGAGCAGCGTATTCGTTGAGTTGACGATGCAGCAGCAACAATGAAGCAATTGGGGGGCGTCAATGGAGTCATAAACTGACTTGCACACACACATACACATGTAGAGCTGCATATCATCAGCTGTAGAAATAAACAGTTCGCAGACACTCTGCGGCATTTGTTTAGACTCATGCTATTTTTAGTTTTTTTTTTTAAATTTAATTTAGAAATTCGAACAGGAACAAGGTGAAATACCAGTCCCAATAGCATGGCGCTCGACAACGCTACTAGATCTTACAATCTTACATGTTTTATTCAGGGGAGGAAAATTAAAAGTTGTAACAGCGATATGTTCCTAAACTAAAATATTTATTTTTCTTTCAATTAAAATTCTGATTATTATGTGCCATGGTAAAAACACAAGTTAGATGGGTGATTGATTCGGTTATACTTGTAGGCATATCTCGACAAGTTTTAGTAATCAGTTTAACCTACAATATTTTATGCAAAATTATTGATGTTTCAAACTTATTATGATTCAGACAAAAACCAACGCTTTTTCTATAATAGGAAATCACCATTTTCGATACAAGCATGGCGGACACTATAGCACCAGACTTAAGGAGCGTGTACCTAGGACCCAAGTTTTCATTTGATTACCGTAAAATATAAATAGAACGATGCATTTAAAAGATTCAGTTATATAAAACGGTTAAGCAAATATAAATATGTAATACGTGATCAAATTTGACACGAACTGAAAAGAAAACTACATTTACAAATATTTATTAACGCCTCCAAAATAGGTTCTGAGTCAATACAAATATGCCAACGCTTAATGCAATTTTCCATACACTTGTTATAAGCCACGGCTGGGATGGCCTTCAGTGTGTGCAAATAAGTTTCTCAGCAAAGCTATTGCAATGCATATCGTTTGCGACCTCTACTCGACGTCGTTTTTGCAAAAGGTTCAGGTCTTTTGGTAGGAGTCTATCGTTGACGCACTTTATACCCAAACCGCTAAATAAAATTTTTTGAGTCGATCCATAAGAGATGTTAAAATCCTCTGCTATCACTGATGCATATACTGCTTCTTTAACTTTTTCGAGGTTGTCATCATTAACAGAGGTGGATGGATGACTCACATGAGGAAGTTTTTGATGACTTCACGACCTTCACTGAATGCTTTGTCTCACTCAAATACCAGATTATATGATAAAGTAGGCTCTCAAAAACACTTCTGCAATATTTTCAACGATTTCTTTTCTAAATCTAAAATTTCAAGCAAACTTGTTTTTAAATTTTTTCCATGGTAAAAATCGCCAGACAAAAAGTCGCCAAACATTAGTGTGTGTGACATGTGAATATCAAAAAACGATTTTTTTTATCCATTCGATTTGTTGGCAATTTAAATGGAATAGTGTTCGGGTTAAATTTGATCAGATGGTATATAACTACAGTTATGCAAATTTCGCATTGTGTACGACATACATATGTACTTATGTACATTGGCACGAGGGCTAACAAAGAGACGCACGAGCCCTACTAAAGCTCATGCACCTAAAATAGTGCAAAGACAAAACTCCTACATATGACCAACAACAATAAAAACGATACGAATGCAATGCTCAAAACAGAAATGATAAAACATCGCGAAGATGCAACAAAAAGTTCAGAGGAAAACATTGGAGAGGAAAAACAAATTTGTGTTTGAGACAAATGAGCAACAGAGCGCATTTTCAATTCATATGATTGTGATACAGTGGTGGCTAATGGCAGTGGGAAAGACTCACTTATGCATATCAGAAAAAGTAGAGAGAAAATTATTTTAACTCTAAAATGTAGTATTCTTTTAAATTTATTATGCATTTTAATTAAAAATAGCTAAGCATTTTTATTTTTAAGTATTTATATAAGTGATTAATGAAAAGAACCAAACTTTGGAGCGTTATACTAAACTATTAGGCTTATTTAATATAATCAAGAAATAAGGTCTTAAAACGTGAATGAGAATACCATTTCTCGTGGAAGATCATTAAGTGGCTTTGTAAATTTTAATTGCCTGCTCAAACGTTAAGTTGAATCACTCAAAAAAAGTTAGCAAATCATTTGTACCATCGCTTAGATCATAGAAATCAAGATTGCATCAGCTTTATCGCTTTAGTTCATCAAATAGTTGACTTGACAGAAAAATGCATCAAACGGCACACCTGTCACACTGAAATAAGGCGATATTCGAGAAATAAAAAATTACTTTATCAATTGTTTTAAAATTTCAAGGATGTGTTTATACATATTTTAAAAACACACATTAAAATTTTTTAATACAAGAACCTCCACTGCTGCAGTGATTTCGGCTATTTCAGTGAATGAAACGTAAAAACAAATTCCCTACTAGAAAATATTGTTCGTACAATGACCTAGGGTCGAAAATAATCACAAAATTGACAAATGGTCGCGTTTGAAAAAAAAAAATTAAATTAAAATTTTGGTCGTTTTTTACCATCCACAGTTCGATTTTTGATCAGATTAACAAACTGGTAGGTCATTGCAGGAAATTTTCAAATTTAATATAATTCAGTTATGAGAAAAAGCTTTTTAAACGAATAGTTCTCTGGGTATCAGCTAATCGCCCATTTATACACAGCTTGGTTATAAAATCAACTTTTTCCAGTTAAAACATAATCAAATTTTAGTTGTCTGCTAATATGTAAATTACGTTGAACTACTCTCTCAAAGACGTGTTGTCAAAGGTTATGTTAAGACCTAAGAATAATAGAAATCAAGATTGCATCAAGCTCTTCCCGTTAGTTCGTCGATGAGTTCGTTTGAGAGAAAAATACGTTGGGAGGAGGATGGAAAGAGAAGGGTTTGTTTACAATCAGTGGGAAAGTTTGACAATTTGTCTCGTTTAGGACATAGGTTGTCGCATAGAATGATGTTATATTTCTATAGATACTATAGCTATTGAAAATACCATATAGGTATACATGTACTTATATATTCTTCATCCTTTTCTAGTAAAGTGAAAAGATTTTCACGACAAGATATGAGGCTACCTTTAGAGTGGAGGTGTTTCGAAATAGTAGGTATTTTAATAAAAAGGGCATTGTTTCTACTTTTGAATACTATGCATCGTTAATCCTCATCAGCAACGTTGGCACATTTTAAATGAATCTTAAATATAAGTACTTCCAAGTTTTTATTAAAATGAAGTTTTCAGTTCATAATTGCATAGTTTCTGCTCTCTTTCATTCATAACTTCACAGCCGTCGATAAAGAGGAACTCAACCTGAGTTTTAAACTTTTTACTGCGCTTTGTGGAGAAATAAGAAAAGTATTTTCTATTAAAATAAAATTATAAATGTGAGTCTGCTTTATCGTAGCCACACGCCCCTTAATACCAGAATTGATAAGATCATCGAACTTGCAAACTTAAACACATACTTACACACATATTAATAGTACTTATGAAAAGATAAACAAGAGAACTGATTTGCTGTTGTTGATTCAACTTTTTGTTTACACTGAAAAGGTCCAATGCCTGCCTGCATATTTGTACATAAATACATATTTACACATACGTACATATGTAAGTAAACAAAAAGCAAACCGCCGATGGCTTTCTTTGCTGCTTTTACTTTAATATTTTACAATAACAAAAGCATATATGTGTTTTTCCTAATAAAATGTTCAACACCTTCTTGTTTAATTGAAAAACAAATCAAGACGTTTATATAATTGCATCTGTTGTTATATACAAATATACAGATGGACATAGATGAGTGTATTTACATTATATACATATACATACATATAGTCACATATGCACATATGCCGAAAGCTTTGCCGATACTTCTTGTTTTTTCAAGCTATTTTGAAAGCAATTTATGCATTTCGCTTCCATTTCCGGTGCAACCATGATTCTTGCTGCATCCACCAGTTTCTGTATTCGTATAAAAATTAATTGGTAAATAGTGAAAGCGTGTATGCATCCATATGTTACAGAATATACATAAAAACATTCTTTCGGGCGTGTATAAGCATTTTTGCATATGAAGTTTTAGATTTTGAAGAACTTTAGTTAAATGTTGTCATTGGGTTCATGCATACTTTTGCCTCTGCACTAGAAGGGCCACACTGTAACGGCTTAAGATTATTGTGGTAAAATTAAACATTTCACTTATTGAGTTTATAACCTCCAATTAAAGCTTCGCGTAGACTTTAGAGAACTTTTTTCAAACCACAATATTTATCGTCTGTTGTACTCTGGCTGGTACGTAGTTTCTTCAATTAAATATGATTGTGGGAAGAATTTTCTCGGTAAGTCGATATAAGTTTTCTAGCACTACGAATGTTTAAGCGGTTCACCTAGTGTGATAGCCTAAAAAAGCGAATTTTGGAAATTACAAAAAAAAAAAAAACACTATATTATAATTAGTTTTATACAAAATTTAAGAATGGTAAGGTTAGGTTACGAGATCGGTTAAATAGGGATCTCACTTAGACTGCTTAAAAAGACGATCAGTTTTGAGCCAATCACAAATTTGCAGAGTTGGCTATGTCCTCCGGTTCGCAGAACTGTTTCAACCTCAGTCTTGCAAAAGCTGGAAAATGGAACAAAAAGTGTCTGGATGTTTCCATCTCCCCTTCCTCCATACAACTTTGACAACTTGCGTCCGACAAGATTTTTAGCCTTACCACAGTAATCACTATTAGACAGTACGAAGACCCGCAATTGCAAAAATATAATATTACAAAAAAAAAATCCAATATTTCTCGCGTTGCACGCGATCTCCAACGGTGCTAAAAAAAGTTCGTCGACTGCTGCAGTGACTCCCCGCTTTTCCGTTGTTGAAACCTAGAAAACTACTCTCACTAGAATATATTGTCGGTACAATGACCAATTAGCAAAAGTTTAGTCAAAATTAAAGTTGTTTTTGAATTGCCAACATTCGATTTTTGGTCGGATAAAACAACTGGTAGGTCATTGTATGGAAAACTATATAAGTAATAAAGCATGCAGAAAAAATTGGATAGTGATCGGATTTTTTGTCGGGTTCGAAAACATTGCATTTAATTGATTGCCTACATTGATTATTGAGGGCTACATCGCCCCGCTGGAGAATCTAGATCCTCTAGATAGAAATATCAAGAATAATATAATTACTGAAACTAAACAGTATACTGAATACAGGATCATTCGGCAAGTACTTCATCTGATGTTATCGCTCTCACCGTTTCTGCATAATATGTTACCAAAGTCATGTACATATGTGATGACCAGAAAAAGAAATGGATCGAGATAACAGTTACTCTAAAGATATAAACTAAGTTGACGGACATGGGAAGTTGCTTCTAGACTCTAGACGAAGCACCCAACTTGTGAAAAGTCTATAAAATTATGACAAAATTTCCGAATTTGGTCTCAGCGATTTATTCTATACTCAGAATAACAATGTAATGGTCTATGGAAAACAATAAACCGATAATTGTCGAGAACGAAGTTGAAACATTGTTATAAACAGTATATAGATTGCCCTGGTGGTAATTATGTGAACTAAAAAAACCGATTTTCAATCGAAAATAATAGTTAAAGCTGAAGCTTTTCTTTATGTTATTTACGCCAATAAACACATGTTGAGGTCATTCACAATTATCAATGATTTTACCGGAAATAGTCCTTCACTTCACGACTTATCACAGCTTTCGTAATATTTTCTGGAATAGAGAGTTGTAGATGAGGACTTATGTTCAAATCTGTCTCTTAGAAATAAACTCCTTATTTAAATGAAATAAAATTATATTAAAGAAGTTCTTAATCAAATAGTTCTTTATTATTTTTTTTTTGGAGGAGTATTTCTCCAGACTCGATTTATCAACAACTACAACTTTCTCTCTCGCAAAATGTTCTCTTTCGGGATATTTCGTAGAATACTTGTATAATTACGGTTAACTACAGAGTTTGCACTATTTGCATATGTGGTATATGTATGTATTTGTATTATATACATTCTCATGGTATTGTTGACCTATATAGACTTGTTGCTTTTAATGTTCGAAAAATGTTGCAGCTTTCGTCAAGGCAAAGTGCGCAATTGCAAATTTATTTTGTTGTATCACTTTATATACATTATTATATTATATATTTATTTACATAGATGGTTTATATGGGTATCCATAAATATAGTATAGTTAAGCCACAGGATCATTCCCTGAAATGTGTATAAATATTTGTACGAGTATGTGCCAACATTAAGGTTGGCTTATAGACATTTTTCAATTAATTTACAGATAGTTTAAAAAAAATTATATTACATATGTATATCAATACAAACAACAAATAACCATATAGTAAAGGGTGTTCCAAAATTAATGCAAGGTTGAAATTCGCCACCATTTATGTAGTACAGTGTTGACAACCCTAAAAACAAATAAGTAAGGGAGCTCTAAGTTCGGGTGTAACCGAGCATTTTATACTCTCGCAACTTGCAAGGATCAATGCCCGGGAAATTACTTCAGGTGTTGGCAAAATTTTATATTAAAGGAACTATTGATCCGATCCAATTCATTTTTGACACAAAAACATACTTTTATCGAGAGTTTCATTTATTTATTTTATTATATGAATTTTAATTATATATCTTACACATTGACCGATATTTTTGATAAAAAGTCAACTATAGATACTGGGGTCCATATATTCTGTACCTAGGGGCTTGAACAGTTTTGGTTCGATTTAGACAATTTTTGGTCACAAGGTGGCATACTTTAAACGCATTATTTACGCAAAGTTTTACCCCGATACGATCATTATTGCTTGATTTGCATACTGGAAAGTGAAAAAACCAGATGGAATTTAAAATGGTGTTATATTGGAAATAGGCGTGGTTGTAATCCGAATTCGCCCATTTTCGCACAGATCCAAAGATATGGCCACTGTCTAATTTTGAACGCAGTTTCAATAAGGTCGTGTGATACCATCCTAGAAATAAAATTGAATATCTCTGAAGTGTTTAGTGCTTGATTTATCTCGCTTTTAGTAGTTTTCAATAGTACCGTTATATGGGGAGTGGGCGGAATTGTCACGATTTCACCGATCTTCACACTGTCGATAGAAATGCTAAAAACATTTGTTCTCAGTATTTTGTTATTATAGCTTTAGCGGTTTAGGAGATATGCACAATAATCTACAATATTAGAGGGCCTACTTTTTAAAAAAATTTTAAAATGCAGATGCCCCTCTCTAATGTGATCCTGTGTACCAAATAACAGTATTGAATCTTATTGTGGAGCTTAGTTATCCTGATCATTTATATATACATAACCCTATACCTAACTCGATTAGTTTTAGGTGATACAAACAACCGTTAGGAGAACAAAACTATTATACTCTGTAGCAACTTATTGCGAGAGTATAATTAAAATCGAAAGTCTAAAAACTGTGTTTTCTATTTAATTCCAAGCTAGCGATATTTTTGGGACACCCTTTACACTAAATTGCTTGATTGATAAAAAATATTTGGTTGAATATTAATTATTTAAAGCTCTCTTCTCTTTTGTAAAATTATTAGAAAACGCATGATTTAAAAAAATAGATATCTCCTATACGTAAATAAAGACTGTTTAATACGTATGGCAACCCTATATTTGTTTTAACTCTGTTCATAACTAAAAATAAATCTGTTTTAAAAAGAATGATGTCATAGAAACGAACAAGTAAGATGAGGTGTTTTGTAAAAGAGACATTTCAATTATTGGTGGCAGCCCTACCAAACTTTACGAGTGCTTTAGTTGCATATATGTGATAACCCTATTTATGGCTAATTGAAGAGAGCTGCTGTCATATTTCACCAACTGCTAAGGTTATTGAGAGAATTCTCCCTTCGATACCTTTACTATGGACTATTTTCCTATTAACCTTACCCTCTAAGTTCAATGAAATATTAGTGAAAATAATCAGTTTGTTCGTATTTATAGCTATATGTCACATCCAAAGAACACAAATTCACCTGATGAAGTATTTTTTCTACCTACTATTGGATCATTAATCTCTATGACTAATACATGTAAATTTTTTTTGAAAACCTTCAATCCACATTTTTATTAACTATTTTCCAACAAGAATATTTGCATTGTATTACTTCATATTTTTTATTATCCATCCTCTTGTTGCAACCACATCAGTGAAAACATCGGGAAATCCGAGCCCACAATCATTTATGACATATGAATTCACTCCTATAAGTTCACCGTTATGAACCGCCGGACCACCAGAATCACCACTACAAACGCCATGACCAAGCGGTCTCCTCATACACCTCATTGCGCTTCCTAATCTATCCAATCGCCTCAGACATTGTGCATGACTTATCGAATATTCGGTGTCGTATTGAAGCACATATGAAGCCTTAGTACTGCTCACGTGACCCCAGCCACTCACGATAACTTGTGCACCGTCGGGTATATTCTTTTTAGCTAATGGTATGGAATTGATGACATCGTTAAACTCTAATGCACTATTCAGTTTTAATATAGCTATGTCATTATTATTTCCACCATATGCTGGATGTATTGTCACCAAAGATACCCGCTTTTCAACACCACCGGTAATGTAATATATTGTACCAGCATACACGCTTATAAGCTCAGGCATTTCGACAACGTGTTCGACACAATGCGCTGCAGTCAAAATGTGATCTCGCGATATTATTGATCCCCCACAGGCGTATATAATATACTCGATCCTGTCATCTTCGATATTCAACAATACCTGATAAGGGAACTGTCCTTGCGCTGCCGAACGACCGCTATATATGCGAGGTTGTGGATGACTTTTATGTATCCTACCGAGCGTGAAGTTGACTGAAATTGCGGCCACTAAAGTAAAAATTGTGAGAACCGATTTCAAATTTATCATATTCTCTGAACAAATAGCAGACGAATGGCATTACGGCTTCAGTACATTTACATAAATATGCCTACGACCCAGTAAAATACTTTCGACTTGTATAATAGAAAATGTAATTTTATTACAACAGAGAGGTAATTATAATAATAAGTTATACTTTGTTGAAATTGAAATAAGTAAATCAAGATTACGGCACATTTTTACGGTTACTAGCGCTCAAATGGAAACGGCGTTCGTAGACAGCATTTCTTTTAACAGATCTCAACCGAGTTTTATGCCAAGATAATGCTAGTCAATAATATAAAAGCTTTAAGCCAAAAAGTGTGATTTAACCAAGAATTCTCCGAAGATTGTCTATTTACCAATAGATTACTACTTGTATATGGTAAATGCTACTCTAAACGTAGATTTTTTATCTTACCACATTTTCGGAGCGATTTAAATACTTTCTCGGAATCGTCGTTTCTTAGAACTACCGGATACGTGTCAGTGAGCTTTGTAAGCTCTCAGCCGATCTCCTCTTCATCATTGCGGATGCTGAGCCCGGCACCCACATAAGTATACGGTTATATACCATTTGCACTGAGACAGACAAACTCTGACAGTGGTACTGGTTCACTTCTTGAAGCTACCTCTCTCCCACACAAGCGCAAGAGCAATAAGCTTAAGTTCTTAGTATTATAGTAGGCATGATAATTATATGCAATTGGGAGAGGACGAAGAATAAACTATTACCTCGACAGTCGGGTCTACGTAACCGGAACAGACCCCAATTTTTGTCCGGACTGTCAACTCGGCATTCCTCCAAATTAACAATAGCGATGGGTAAACATAATAAAAAATAGTATTAATATTTTAAACTTAGACACAAACCTTGCTTCTTCGAAACTTGAATGTAAAGAGCAAAAGTTTAAAGCATAAAATTATAAAGCTCCTAGATTTATTTAAGTTAGAAACCGAACTTTGTTTATTTTATAAGAGTTTTAGGCTAAACGCTCTCCAGTTTTTCTCTCTCTTTCTATGTCTCTCTCTCCTCTCTCTCTCTCTCTGCAGCACTTTTATATTGCTCTCATACATACTTTGCAAAAAAGTTGAATTTATCCACCCTCTGTGCAATTGGCTGTTCGAATACCGACTTCGTCGTCACCACTAGCCTTGGTGGCTTTGTTGATGGCTGCATTTATTTTTGTTTTTGCTGTCTCACCTTCAAAGCACGTTAGAAGATTCTACAGACTTAATGTCCCTGATCTTGAATTTTATGAGGAAATTGTTGGATGTCGTTGGGGACTTAATGGAAATTCTGTAGTTATTAACGAAAGAGATACTCTTTGGAGACAAGGATATGTTAAATTTTTAAATTTAGCTTAAGGTATTTTTAATTCATATGAGAACAAACTCATTCCTACTCTCGAACATGGATAAACTAGAGGTTTCGCAAATATCTCATTGCCTTTGAGTTTCTGCATTTATTTTACCTTTAAGTTCGTTTATTTAATTTGGCATATATTTCTATATTCTGAGTTGCTCCCCTCATTTTTTGGCTTACTGCCCATAACATTGAACTCACATCACGTTTCAATTTCAAGGTAGTCTATTCATTCGCTCCCTCGCCATCCATTAAGTTTAGCGGAAAGAGTAAGGATGCTACATTTTGTTGTCTATTTCCTCATTTGCCATGAACTATTTGAAAATTGGTGTACTCTAATGTAGTGCTGTGGTGAATACATAAATCCGTTGTGACGTCAAAGACTTTTTCCCAGCAAACCACAAAATTATGTAAACTAATCTTTGCAAAACTTACCTCTAATTCAGGTGATGTGTGTACGAACTTTTTATTGTTGCATCGAAATCAAGGGTGCAATAAAAACAGGATATTAATGCCATACACGAAATGTAAAATTTTTTATTACAAGAATTGGATTTTTTGATGAAGTGTTTATGGTTTGCGGGGTCATAAGAAAACGCGTATGTATAAGTAGAAATGTATAACATGGTTTCAGTGTTTTCTTTTTTGTATTCATTATTTTGTCAACGATTCAGCAATTTGGCTTTTATGACTGCGCCTAAAAATAGGCAATATATTTTTAGCAATTTTCCTATATTTATATCCATTAGTGGAAAGCGCATTTTTAGTTGTTTTGCTTTACAAGAAATGTTTTCACTTCCGATGTATGCTATTGGATTCTTTGTTGTAATTTTAATAGTGGTTCAAACTTATTGTTCTAAAATATGGTGCCAAATATATATTTTTTTCAATTGAATTATTTATTTTTTTATAAAAGTATACAAAAGAGGTTTTAATTTTTACAAACTTCATTATCTTCATGCAATCTTTGATTATATTTCCACTGATTTAACTTGACGAAGAATTGTTGATCACGATATTGACGTGTGTTCGTTGAGATGATCTGCTTTACTTTAAAAATTCACTCTTCTAATCCCACATCTCTAAAGATAAATACAAACTATAAGTTTGGGTTTCAAAGTGACCCAATCTTTTTGTTGCGCTAAGGAAGAAGAACATTTGTTTTTATATTTTCTAAGGCTGATGTTGCAGTTTGTAATTCCCTCGGCCGAGTTTCAAATTTCAAGGCGCCTTCGTCCCACCCATTCGATGGATAATCAGTATTCGAGTATTTACTTTAATTCTTCTTCTATTCTCAAGAGTTCATTGTTGTCTAAAGAACTTTCCAAACGAAAATTTTTACTTATTATTAATTACTATTTATGCTTTTCACTTTTAAATTTCTTTGTGTTTATCATTTTTATAACACCTAAAATCATGCTGCTGTAGTGACGGTTCTTAACCGGATATAAAACGAAATATGTTCCAGTTCTAATTTCATGACAATCTTTGCTCACTGACCTTTCATTTTCCTGCAGGTATTGGTATTAAAAGAAACGAGTTTATTAATTTCTCTTACGGTGCAATGTTGGAACGATTTATAGTCGAAGTGCACGTTTCAGAAATAAGTCGCAGAGGCTGGAAGTTCTACTTTTATTCCACCGCTTAACTTTTCGATACGACAGATTGGCGGTGAAGGTAACCACTTATGTATACAAAGGAGACATAAAAACTATCTGAGATTGTTGGTCCGTTGAGCTGCTTACGTCTCGAAGAACTAGATGGGTAGTTCATGACTGAAAATAGTTCCAAATGTACAATTAAAAACAACCATACTCGGATATTTTTGTTCGTGACAAAATTAAAACTTATCAAGTTCATCATAGTGAAAGACTCGTTTGAAAATTTATGAAAAGAGTCAAAGATTTGTTAGAATAATTGACGATATTTGGAGTCTAACTTCTCTGCAATTCGACCTTGAGTTGCCACAGTAATAGCTAATTTCTTCCAATTTTGAAAGCCCAGTGGCAAGCTGTATTAGGTAATTTGTTAGAAAGAGGGTGTGTCTTCGTTCATTTTATGAACTTGCACACATGAAATATATTAATGTTTGTACAACTAATTTCATACTTCCCATGAAAAGCATTGAACTTAAAAAAAGTTGAAGTATACAAAAATAACAAACAAGTATTATTGGTATTTAGTTAATTACTCTTTATTAGACGCAGTCTTGCTGCCACTCCAAAATACTCTCTGTGAACAGTTAATTTGTAAACTTCCCGCTCTGGTGAGCTCACTGGCCGACCCAGTTCGATTGCTTTCCCTTATTGTGCTGAAGGCTTGCCTTATAACTGTCATCTTCCTGAATTTCCGAAACAATAAACACCCAATACATCTCTAGTATATACCATATATAATATATTTATAGTAATTTATATATATAAATATAGTATAGGCAACAATGTTGCATTGCGATAAATCGTCATGTCATTGTACTGTCGTCGACTTGACATTGAAAAGCGATGACAGCAACTTGGCGCATACTTCGCGAGCATGTGAAGCATAACGGACCTGTTGTACAAGTTAGACGACGCGCCTTCATTACTTTGATGTTATGATTTGCTTCGTTATTTTTTCTCCCAAAAACAACTACTAACTCATCCAGATGTCTATATTAGTAAAAGTCTTAAAAAATATTTCACATTTGTAAATCGCAAACTGGAAGTCATTGGAGTCAGTGAAACATATGAAATAGTTAGTTAATCGATCTACATTCGATTGCAAATGCTTTACTAAAATTATAAAGTATGTAGATGGAGTAACCATGTCGATCAGGAAATTATTAAGAGAGGTATGAACTTTTAACCTTGTAGGTTACTAAAGCCGAAGAAATAATTTCAATAGACTCTCTGTTCAGGGGTATTTTGTAGTCGCCTTCGTTAAATGGCTTGAATACAACGCTACCATTACTTAGCTATCGACTCTTGGCAGGGAGTTCCAACAGTACTTCGCACATAAGAAAATAATTCGTCAACTTTGTCGGTATTTTATATTGCTACGACCAAAAACTCAAACAGGAGGTATAATATTATTCGTGAATTGTGATACGAAGTTCAATGACGCTGGCTTTTAAAACTATCCTATGAACTTGGAAAATGCTAACCGCGGGAGAATGAGATAATAAGTTTCGCAGAGAATACTCCCACCCAGCTCAGTAGCTCAGAATGAGTGCTTATTAAAATAAGGGAGATCCCTCCATGCCCCCATTATGTCTCTTTCAGTCTATTCTAAAGGTAACCTCACCTGAAAACATGTATTCTGATATTGTTCAATGTGGGTAGTATGTGGTTATGGTTAGGAGTGAGAGCCTGCTCTTTCATATAAACTTGAACTTGTCATATAACATACCACAAATGTTTCGCATTTAAAATCGGAAGTAATTACTATGTGACATTAATGGCAAGTTGTAATTTCATTGACTAAGCATAACTAACGGTCTAAAACAGGAAACTCTCGATGGCATTGCAATTACAGGACAATAAACTTGAGATTTGCTTTTGTAGAAATGCAAAAACAAAAGAAATACCACAAAAAAGTATGCAGTGACACAAAGAAAAACCAATACCGTTTCAACCACATAAATTACAAAAACAAAACAAAAAACAACTCATTTGGACAACGATTATCGAATCCATTAATTTTATAAAATTGAGTGATTTATAACTTTTTTTCCTGATCCTGCATCAAAATGGACACTAATGTGGGAAAATTCAACATAGTCAATACTAACTAACAGTCAGCGATACGCACAACAAACAAAACCTGTTATGAAAATACTCTGTTAATTATAGATGTTATCTTGAATCTATGTTAAAGTTAACAGTGACAGCTTAATTATAGTCTTGATGCTGCTTTTGCCATCTTATCTCTGTGCGAGTACATTTTCGAGCAGTGTACAGTGTTGCGATTTGCTTATTGAGGGAATAAAAATTAATGATTTTTCACGGAGTTTTAAATATATAATATAATAAGAGCGGATACTCTTTCTGTCGAAAATATTTTCTTAAAAAGGCTGTCACTTGTTAAAGTTTTTAATTATTGAAATTTTCTCAGCGCAATACTTAAATGGTTTAAACCACAAATTTACAAATTTGTTAACGGTAAAGAATTTTTAATTTTTTAAATATGGGTCTTAATTGAAAATGTAATATGGTGGGTAATTTATAATAATTCAACAAAGTTATTAAGATACTTTACAATTAAAAATATATTGTAGAAAAGTTGCCACCTATTTTTATTTGATAAAAAATATTATTTGATAGAGAAAATGAATGAACAAATAAACATCAAATTAAAAATATGTAAGAAGAATTAAAAATATGCAAATTGAATACAGATAGTAATATCAGTATTGAATCAAAAGTATTTTAACAATATTGAATACATACTGAAGTATTTTTGAAAGTATTATTATTATTAAGAGACCCAACTTATCTCTTTTCCTTTTAAATGACCAAGGAACAAATTTTATTTTTAGCTTGACAATTTTATTTCAATTTCCTATTAGAATAATTTTCCAGTGAATTTTTCCAATGCTCAAGTGGCAGTGGCAGGCTACATAAGTAAACAATCTTCTTGACAGTTTCTATCCTATTTTTAGTTAGAATTTACTCACACTAATTTACACAATAATTTATTAGTAATTTAGTTGAAGAAAACATAGGTAGGTCAGGAATTTATTTCTAAAATACATTATATTACGGTCCTAACGAATATTTATGTGCCCACTAACTGTTATTTTAACATTCTAAACGTAATTCTGCACACGATTTTTGCTAACCTTGCTTTAGATGTTGTTGTTGTTGTAACGGCAGAATTTTGTCGAGTTGACAGTCCTTGGCTGGAAAAATCCGGGTCCGTTCCGGTTACGTAGACCCGAATGTTACGGGAACGGTAGATGTTGTTTTCGCGGGCCACTTCGGTTGGATGTACCAGGTTAAAATTGCATCAAAAATGTTTACTTTGGTACAATTAATACTTGCATATAGTTACATGTACATATAAGACTATTATTTTCAGTCATTGAATAATCTTTTATAATATAAAATATAATATAAATATTTTTAGATTTTTATTTGTACCTTGGAAGGAATTGCTCTTTGGTGAGGCAGTTTAAAATCCTCTCTAAAATATATTTCTATACAATTTTTTTTGAAAAATTTTTAATCGTCTACCTTTTTGAGAAAGTTAAATGTTGACCAAAAAAAATTTTTTTTGCTGACTTTAATCCCACTGTACGTACCGCTGTTACCTCTGTGGTTATGTGGTGACAAGCAACACCAGTAGTCACAACCAGCGGCATCCATTGAAACAGCAGACAATTGTGAACAACATAATTTCCCCCAAAAGCAGCAAGCGCCAACATTCACCATACACACACACACGCACACACACAAATAAGCATATGGCGTTTATTGTCTGAGCTGCGGCTGGCTCCACGCACCCAATACACCACCATCGCTCGAGTTCGAGTCAAGTTCAGTGCTGTGCGCAGTCAAAGCGTAGTGAAAACCGCTTTCAGCTTTCAGTTGAGCTGCAACGTTACAACCAAACGGTCGGTTCGGTTTTAAGACACGGCGCTTTCTCAACGGGGAACATAAAGTTTGTGTGCGTGTGCGTGCGTGCGTGTGTTTGTGCTGTACGTTGTGATAATAAAACACCACCAACAACAACACTGAGTGTTTAATACTTCATGCTCCAACGAATGAAAGTCAACGAAAAGAGAAATGCAATAAATTTAAATATTTAAATAAATTTAAGAAGGAAATTCTGATTGAATTGTGTGACTGTGAATTGCAACAACAAAATTAATTTGACTTTAAAGTGCTGCGGCGCGCATATGTGTTAGTGTGTATATGTGTTGATTGAAGTACGCGAATTAGTTGCAAAAGGTATTTATGATTTTGAGGCATAAATTGTAAAAAGTGTTAATGAGGAGAGTTAATATATGCATGTGTATGTGTGTTTGTACATAGAAAATGTGAAAGAGTCAGGTCGGAAGTGTTAAACCCTAGCAGAGTTCAAAGTTTTTTGGTCCGCAAATGAATTTTTAATGCATAGGCATAGAAATATACATACATAAATTAAATAGTTATATATATTATTTACAATGGTTTAACGCCAGTCTTTCGAGGCAACCAGCTGCCAAAATAAAAGTCACAAGTCACAAATGATAAAACCTCAGCATAAGTAAAACTAAAAGACAAGTAGTTTATGTAGACATTTATATGTATATATTTATATACATTTGTATGTGGTTACATCTGAAGTCAAAGAGTTATAAAATCACTTAACGGCGCCTAACCCCACTAAAAGTGGAGCCCTGGAACTTTGACAATAGAAATGAACTAAAATGTGTGTTTCCTTCTTCTTTCCTTCTTTTTTGTTTACTTATGTAGGTATTTATATAAATATATGTACAAATTCACCACTTTGTGTCTTCTTCAATTGTACCGTAGATACTCATACTATAAGTTTGTGCGATCAGTGAAATTTTGTAGGTCAGCGTTTGACTTAAAAAGGTTTTGAGCACAAAAACATGCACGAAGATAACTAAACAATTTCATTTTAGATATAGTTTACAAATATTCTTATATATATTATATTTAACTGTGAACTACTAAATGAATATTTAATATTTTAATAAAATAATATTTAATATTTTTTTCCAAGAAAAATTCAGAAATTCATTAAGTTTTTTGAGTCAAATTAATTTAAAAACAAATAAAACAGAAAATTATATATTCACATCAAATAAGAGGAAAAGTTTAAACAATTTGTAATCATTTATAAAACTCAAAAATTTAAATAAAATAGTTAGAAAGCTATATAAAACCTCTAACAGTAAACCTTCATGAATTTTCCATACCATAAAAAAATTTTTTTTTTAAGAAAATGTATTTGTTAAAGCAATTTTTAAAGTATATAAACAGATTTTATTTTTGATAAAACAATGTTTGATAATTATAAAAAATATTTTTTACTTTTTTAACATAATAATCTTAAATATCATATTTAAATAACCTTAATTTATTTCATTGTCAGATAAAGCTACAAAAATAATTTCGTACTTTTTAAAAATAATAAAAATTGAACTAGAACTACAGACTAGACAAATCTATATCGAAGACTCTCTAAAAATTTCAAAAAAAATTCAAATTCAGAAAAATCGATCCAGTAGAACCAGCGAAATCGTGGGTATCGTTTTGAAAAAGACAATTTCGAGAAAAACGCGTTTAAAGTTTTAGTTGCGGCCGAACCAGTTTGGATTTCGGGTCAGCAAAGTACTTGCACCTATGTGTATCTCGTACAATAATTTGAATTTTGAAAAATGCTCTTGTAGACATATTCTTGAATTATTAAACTTTGAAAATATAAAAACTTAATAAGACATACAACTAAAATTCTAACAAAATAATTCAAACTATATATACATATATATATATATATATATATATAATTCAAAATATATAAAAAAAATTTGACAATTTCATTAATTTTCTCTAAATAATTATACTTTATAGCCATTTTATTTCAATAATTATACCCTGAATAGTTTCTCAAACACCCAGAAAGAAACGTCGGAAGCCCTCTAAAGTATATATGTATATTAAAGTAGGTAAAAAACTGAATGTTCTTTTCTTTTTCCTTTCTCTTCGTACTCTGAAAAATTGGTTGACAGACACCTCTTAAAAAAATTTCTTCAAGCGCTTAATCGTAAGGAGAAGGTCCTCCGCCTTACAGGTTTATATTTTTTTCTTATTGATCAGATTAAAAAATTCACATCTCGCTTCAAACTAGTTTTTTATGAATTTTATAACTCTATTTAAAAAAAATTATATTAAATTATAATAATAAATTAGTAGTAGGAAATTTATTGCTCTACCGATTGGTTGTGTATAATTTTTGAATTAAATTAAGCGTTTACGAGATACCCATGGTCAAACATCCATGAAAAAAATAATAATAGTAATAATAAAATTTTAAAGTAAAAAAGAGACCATTTTTGGATGCTTTATAAGAAATGCAATGTATTATAGCTGCAGTGCGGAAGAAATTACACGCTTTCTTAATTTTCTATTGGTTTATTGTACTATGCTACGACTGTATGGCAAAATATAGCAATTTTTCTGTTTAGAATAAAGTAAGGCATATACCATAGAACTCATTAAATCAAAAATACCAAACATTTTACGAAATTATTTTAAATGTGCATCAATGCAAAGTTAATATACATTTTAGAATAAATTTTCTGCATAACAATTCTAATTCGATATAAAAAAGTAATAAAATTCATTTATAATAAAACTTTGTGTTCATAATACCCCTTTTGACCAATGGAGGGTTAATATAAAGTTTTAATTGCAATAACTATTAAATCACTAGAAATTATAATGAGATCAAAATTAATATCAATACAAGTACTGCCTATACGAATAATACCCCACGCATCCAGCCAGGGTTAATAGATTATGTTTCATTTTATAAGTTCATCTCTATAACCTTACGCTATTATTATTTATAACGAATTAAATTTTATTGATAAGCAAAAAAAAACATTCCTTTGAATACAATATATTTTTATATTTTGTTTTTTTTTTCTTTTCTTTTTATTTTTCTATGAAATCATAGAAATTTTGCGAAATTTAATTGAAAATATTACGAAGAATTAACAACAACGACTAGATTGTCTATTAAATTTACAGCTGCTCAAAAATCTGTCAACAACAGGGTGAGTTCAAATAAATAAATATTTATTACGTACATATATTAAAATAGTAACCAACTGGCTTCTGAAAGTGTTCAAACATTTACATATACTATGTACATAAGAGTGCATATGCTTGTAGCTAGAAGATTTAAGTGCAAAGTGTAATTAAGTACAGATGCACAAATGCAGCATTCACGGCCAATGTCAATGGCAAGGATATGCAGGAGCTGGAACGTTCGCTGGTTGGCTTTCTACCAGTTGGCTGACAGTTGCAGGCAGTCAAGGTGAAGGTTAAAGGCGCTCATTCATATATATTTGCGCGTGTTTGGCTAGTCCTATGCACATATAGATATGTTTGAGCAGAGAAGAGAGTGTGAGGTTGCTTCTGTGTTGTTGTTATAATTATAGTCGCAAAACTTTAGGACCGCGTAAAACATGGACTAAAACAAGCTTTTAGTACAAACAACAACTAAAGATTTATATTCACTTATTTTTGTCTGCAACTACCTTAAAGAAACTAAAATTGTGTACTTAAAAAGTGTGTGTTAAGAATACAATTATTATTCATTGTTTACATGCAAAAATAACTTGCAAATTGATTACGTTGTTATGCGCATGAGCCATAAAAAATATGTTTCGCTCTCAGTCTTGCTTATCGTAACTCTCTTGTACTCTTATAATCATGGAAGTAGTATGGCTTTGCAGATTTTCCATTCCATATACAAATAGTACTATGTATATACAAAATAGTCCTTTATACTTAAATTTGCCAGATGCTTGGCCAAACTTCTCCAGCCATTCGGGGACTACAAGTTTCAGACCGACTTTGAATGGCTGATGATTGTTATAGTTGACTTTTTTATGTCAGAAATTCAGTCAAAGTGGTATTGAAAACAATTTTTTTTGGATACTGGTTCAATAGTTGGAAACTAGGCCAAGTCATAACCACGACTTATACATCTACAAAAACAAACTTCAATTCGGAAGAAGATACTTACTGATATTCCAGTATTTTACGGTTTGTTATCACTTGAGAACTTACAGCCTTGGTCACCTAACTCCTATAATTTTATCACCATTCGCTGTTAATAAGTGTACCCTGTGACAGATTTCTAACTTGACAATCTGACTTGAAGATGTTTCGTTCGTTTGGTAGATGGGCGTAATCCGACCACTGCCACGCCCACAAAACGTCGTTAAACTAAAACCTATAATTGCCATAACTAAGCACTTAATTAAGCACCACTATTGATAATGTCAAAATAAATGAAACCGAATGATAACCCCGCCCACTCCCCATATAACGGTACTGTTAAAAACTACTAAAAGCGCGATAAATCAATAAATAAATACGTCAGATACATTAAATTTTATACCCGGGATGGTACGAGAGGGCTTTATAGGAGTCGGGGTCAAAATTAGACGATGGGCGTGGTAGCGCTTACATTTAGGTTAAAGCCTATATCTCGGAATCTGCTCAAGCGATTTCAACCAAATTCAGTTGGTAGCATTATTCTGACATATTAATGCCGCAGTGTAAAAGTGGACGATATCGTATAACACAATTTTAAAATCTGATTTGACTTTCCGTATACTAATTTATATGACACCATTGAACTTATTGGGATAAAACTTTGCACGAATACGGACTTTAAAGTGTGGCAGCTTAAGATCAAAAATTATATAAATCGAACCAAAACTGTTTAAGCCACGTATATACGGACCTCAGTTCCTATCGGTCAATCTTTGAGATCTTTTTATAGAAATTCAGATAGAATCTTTATCTGACATCAATATATCGAAAATATCTGTCAATCTGTGGAATATATTATAGAAACTCAGAGAGAGTCTTTATCAGATCGGAACCTGAATCAGATCAATAATTCCCTTAGTCACCATATACAAGTACCTAATAGAAAATTTTTCGAACGTTCGGTTAACTTTATACCGCAAATAGCAGTCAATATGCGAATTATCTTAATGAAAGTGAGTATGTTTTTCTTATAACAATGTATCCTTATGCATAAAATGGATAAAATCGGGTGAAAACTTGCCCTAGCCGCCATATATCTAATATCAGGATTAAAACATCCGGTTGACTTTATCCCGCATGTATTGATGATTGGTGATGGTATTTGAACTTACCATACAGTCTGATTAAAGCCCATCTAAACTTCTAAGTAAATCAGTGGACAAATTTATACTCCGGTTGCTACAGTTGGAGACCACTCTTGGTTAATTTTCGATCATATCTCATATATAAATATCATAAGAACTTTCGGATATCACTAAAGAAAGATCGATTTTATTATTGTCCCAGTTGAATTCAATCAATAAATCGCTGAAGTCTCGAAGGTTCCTGTATTTAACTGTTATAAATAAATAAGAACAGCACGATCGTAATTTGTACGATGATTTTGGAGCTGCAAAGAGAGGATTATCGTCTGGTTATCCAGATTTTTTAAAGATTTCAATATTTATACCGCATTTAGATACACTCCGAACACAGTATATATTTAGTCCCATAAAATAAAATTTAAAAAAGTATCTGGTATTTTCGGCAAAATACCTTTATAAAAGATGGAATTTCTTCTATTCCATTAATTGGATTTCCAGGTAGAGCACCATATCGAACACTTGATCACTTAGTAAGCTCAAAAGGTCAACCTTATCTTACAACTATAAATACTTGTATATCTGCTTTATCTCATTCCAACATCACATTCACACTACGTGTATTTGTTGTCAGTATCTATAAATTACATTATTAGTAATCAAAATTTTTTATTGCATTTCATTGTTGACACATTAAAACGCATACCGTTACAGCTGGCACGTTGTAATTTTTGAAAAATTCTACACATTTTCACTTGAGCTTCAAGATCACGGCAGCCTCCAATCAATCATACTCGAGTTGCGTTGCGCTTGCGCACAGCACGCCTTCGCCGGCAAGATTTTGTGTGTGTGTGTACCATAAGTGTGTGCTGTCGCATATTTCTTTTTATTTCCATGGAAAGTAATTTCGCGAAAGAAAAACTAGGTAAGCGAGTAGCATGCCGCAAACTGGCTTTTTCCAAGCGATAAGTGTTTATCAGTTGGCAATCGTTCGTCAGACTTGAATGGTAGCCGTCGGGATATGAACGCATACGAGGACTGCTTGAAATTCCACTAAATAATTTAGATATTTTATTTTTCCTTAGGAGGGAATTTCTTGAAAAAAGTTGGCCTCAGTTGTGTGCCCTTCATTCGATTGTAACAAACTTGATTGAGCTACTTCTTTTGAATTGAGAGCAGAATAATTTCATTATAGCAGACTAGAACAGAAAAGATCAAAATCAAGTTCTTATATGGACAAATTTTTTAATCGACACATCTTCACAAAATTTGGCGTGGATTATTATCCATAGCAAGGGTACAATCTCCGAAAAATTTGTTCAGACCGAAGCACTATAGCATATAGCTGCCATACAAACTGACCGATCAAAAACAAATTCTTGTATGCGATCTTTTTTATTTGTAATATTATAGCTTCGGTGCAAACGAAGTAAACATTTTTCATGTTTTGCTTAAATTTGACAGCTGTCAAGCTAACTGCTGATATTTGACAGTTGTATTGTTGCTTCAAAAGATTACTCCGTCCATCGTGGGAAATACATGCACACTCTGCCTTAACGAATTACCCTCGTATATACATCTGTATAAACATGTGTATTTTCATTGTCTCACATCTTCTATGACACGCTAGCTGTCACTTCGGTTAGTCAGTCTGCTGTCACAAATAACACTTAACTTCAGTCTTCTTTACTCAAATGTCACTCAACCACTTTGCTAGCTGCTCTTATTACTGTCGTATCATTTCCTTTTGATTCAGAGCAGAATTTAACCCAGTGACCCACAGCTCATGTTTACACGCAAACTGCAAAGCAAACAAACATACATACATATTTACAACTTGTTTTCTGGTTTTAACTTCGGTTATCTTTAAGATCTTTACGCTAAGAAGTTAATGGACTCATTTGTCAACTGTCTTGGTGTTGTTGCGAAATTGCAAACACGTACTAACGGCATTGCTAACGGTGTTTATAAAAGTAAATAAAAGCGCACAAAAAAAAACTACAAAAAATAAGCTGTTGTTGAGTTCTATTCGATTTGACGTATACTTGGCGTATTTAAGCCCGACTTACAAGATTACAGTCGGAACTTTGAATTTCGTTTTCTTTTGATTTTACGCTGCTCTAACTAACTCTAAATTTTTTTTCATGGAGACCCATGCTACTGTAGAATTTACTCTCAGCTGAAACAAAGCGTAAACGTAATTTATTGCTTGTTCATTGTCAGAAATTAGGTGTGGCCTCAGACCAGCTGAAATTCACAGCCCCGAGAATAAGACAGACATTTAGACAGGCAGTTGTTGCCAAATCACTTGCGAAATTTACATATGTACATATGTTTTTCAGATTGATTTAAAGCGCGCTGTAATTAAGTGCTGTTCTAATGAAACAAAACAATACAAATTGCTAAATTAGTGTAAATATTTATGTTTCTATTGTTTTTGCAATATGTGAGGTGAATCAAATATTTAATGTTCCTGAATGTGTTATTGAATGGAAAAATTGCAGCTAAAAGCATGCAATACTGCACAGCAAACATACAAATATTTAGCTTTAAATTTGAGTTCGAGATTTCGGGACTAAAATTTCATTATTTCCAGATACCATGAGTGTATTATTAGGTACAACATTTTTAGCTAAATACACTCAACTAATTCGGCTTAAAAAAGTTTGTTTTTAGTAATTTATTTCGAGATTTTTTATAATTCGTGATCCCACCGGTGCATTATTAAATTTAAAACAACACTTAAGCAAACGTACACAAAAATAGTTCTTAATGAAAAAAGATATTTTTAGTATGTTGTTTCGGGATTTGAGGATTGAAACTTCATAAACTCGGGACGCCGAAAAATGTCTTTATTTATTTTTATGATTATAAATTCATATATCTGAGTAAATAAAATATTTGTTTAGCTTGTTCTTTCAAGACCCTCTCAAATTAAATTATAACAAAGTACCTATAGTAGCAATACTATCTCAATGGAAGCATTCCAGGTTTTCGGACTATGCCATGTCCTCCAATGTCACCAATTTATATTTAAAATGCTTCATTCTATCGTGCTTCGTACAAATCTTTACCCGAACATTTATTATATTGCGAAAATAAGTTAAACTGGATTAATCATAAGTGGGTTATATATAGCATTACATTCCGAGCATTTCATTGCACGAGCTTTTCTGGAAAACTAGCTTTGTAAGTCTGAATAGATTTTTTTGATGTTTAAATCCTGATGTTGTAGGTTTAATTGTATCACAGTATACAATATGATGAGTAATTGATATTAAATTGTCGTTGCTGAATATCTTCATATAATTTTCTGACACATCTTTTTTTTCCGACATATTCTTTTATGTCCTAGAGAGAGAGTTGGAAACACTTCCTCTTCATTTCAGCCATAAATCCTGTATCTGGATACATAATTTCATTGATGTTTGACGATGAATATCATGTAAACGCTTTACTTAATCGAAAAATTATAAAAGACCATTTGTAGAGCAATAAATTTCCTACAAAACTATGAGTTGTTTTATTGATAATGATTTTTTTTATTGAGTTATAGAATTCATAAGAAAAAAAATGTATCTTAAACTAATAAAACTTTAACTGTTAATATCATTAATGCTAGGTTTACGAAAATGGGATCTTTTTGTAGAGCAATCAATTTTCCATAAAATCTATGAAATATTATATTTTTTCAAGTAGATGAAAGCCAAATTTGAATTTTTCTATCTGATAACAATCAACAAATAGAAAACTGTAAGGTGGAGGACCTTTGTGTAACAATTAAGATCGCATACTTTTAGAGACTTTCTTAGAGGGGTCCTATTTTTCAAAGTACCGAGCGAAAAAAAATCGTTTTTTTTGTACCCATCCTACTGTTCAAGATATAAAAATCTTCATACATTTAATGTCCATTGCTCATTGAATTTCAGTCGAGTATGACAAAGCACAGATAATTGAGCATATTCAGTAAACGTTTGTTTAAGAAGGTTCTAGTAACGACGATGTTACTCTTTGAAACAAAAAACATTATTGAGTTTTCTTTCCTCAAACCATATGTTATATTGAGGAGTGGAAAATTTAGAATTTATTCATTTTAATTACTAAGCAAACTTTCCGACATATTTATGAGTTGAAAAACTTTCAAGCTCTCTTCTAAACACTTTCTCTTGAAATGATAAACACTTAATTTGTTTACGTCGTTATTATACGATTATACCATATACATACTTAATCTATTAAATCAGCATATGTAGGCCATGGGCGCATTGTTTTTTGTTCCACTTTGGAGAAATTGCTTTAACATTTTTTTAATTTACCCATTTTACTGTAAATATATATAAAAACGCTCTCACCAAAAGTAGCGTATCAAATTACCAGATCGAGAGACAGCAGAAAAAGACTACAAATTTTGTGCGTTCCAAAATGTATATAGGTATAAATAAACCGTTAAGTCTTAATTGCGCCCACGCTCTATTTACTTCGGGGCCAAACAAGTGACAATGTTGAAGATTTACATACAGGGTACGTAAATATGTTCTACGTATGTATTTATATGTGTATAAATATAATTTGATGACTATATTTAAGTGCAATAACATTAGGGTGTACCATTTTGTATATATATTTTTCATATATGAAAAGTTTTAATTTTGCCATTTCCATGGTATTAATGTTGCTGCCTTGATTTCATTAATTAAAGCTCATAAGATCTGATATGTATATTATAAAATTTATTTTTTTAAAGGTATAGAACTTTTATTTCAAATACAACATAGAGGAATTATTAAAATGTCCAATACTTTGACTCTTTTGGTTCCCTTATTTTATGATTGTTGGTGTTTGAACAGCAATGTCGGGCATATGAGCACAGCTACGAAGGTCATTAAGATGATGCAATTTAGCACCACAACTTTCCGTGTGACCGGCTTTATCTGGCGAATAGTGTTGGTTTTCAACTGGTCAGTTGTAGCTGGCTTATCAACATAGAATATGGAGCTAACGTACCATCATAAGAATTACGAGTCAAGCCAGATGACGTAAATGACAGATCCAATATAATTGCCGAAAGTTTGTCCCAAAAACGTGGTGATTTCGACCATTTAGCACGTAGACACTTATTATTGACGGGGCAACTAAGAAGTCGAGTATAATTTCTCTCCCATTTCCTGGGGAGCTCAGTGACAGTACCGTATGTACCATCTTCAATTTAAAATGCTAATTGAAGCTAAAAGATCCTTCACAGGGCCATTTTTTATGGCATAAATGGGTATACAAATATTTTTATCTTGATTTTGATCTAAACAACCTAAACAATTTTTTTACGGAGATTGTGGCGCTGCCTTGGATAATAATCAATGCCAAATTTCGCGATGATATCTTTTTCAAATAAAAAAGTTTTCCATACATAACTTGATGTGGATCGATCAGTTTCTATGGCATGGACAGACGTACATGGCTAAATCGAATTAAAAACTTCGTGTGTTCAGGGAATAAAAAGTTTCGAACATGCAACAACTTCATTTTCTGGATGTAAGAGAGCAAGTAGAGTCTTTTCAGCATGACTTGTGATCCAAACACAGCAAGTTTGCCTCCTTACATGTTCGAAAATATAACTCACCGAAAACTATACTTTACTACCTGATTTTTTAAATTCTTTAATATAAAGTTATAGCTACCATATCTTCAGCAAAATTTCAGCTCGATACAGTCTCCTAGTGCTATTGTTACGAATCACTGGTCCACTCGAGATCGAATTTGTCAACTCTTTAACTGATATGTGAAGGCCAAAGAAAACGCCCAGCACAGTTTTACCATCTTCTAAATTATTTGATGATAATTTCAAATTAATATTTAAGCAACGAAATTAAGATTTTCGACGGCTATTATACTTATACCAAAGTTATCCCAACATTTCACCGGCTATAGATTTTACCCTGCTCTGTGTCAAAGTATCTAGTTTCTTGTTAGAAATGACCATTTCATAAAAAACCAAAAAAATTATATTTCAAATACGTTATGCCTTGCCATTTGTCGAAACAAGAAGATATATTTTATATTGTAAACTCATATTATTGGATCTACAATTGAGCATGTTCTCTAATCCAATCCACATGGTAGTAGATCTTAGCATAACCATCTGGATTACCGGTGCCACAGCCGCCATAAACGAATCCAGCAATACCGACGACCTCACCCTCGTACATAGCCGGACCGCCTGAGTCCCCATTGCAAGCGCCATTATTTGGTGCATGGGCCAAACATATGAGCGCATCACTATCCCAGTTTATGGCCGCTTTGCATTCACTGCGTGAAATGGCCGACAAGGTATTCCATTTCAACTTATGCGGAACATCACCACCTTGCTTTACGCGACCCCAACCAGAAATAATAACCGGTGAACCAGAGGGAACCTCTCTTGTGGCCAAACGGACGGGTTGGATGTTTTTCGAGAAGATTAAAGGTTTGCTGAGACGCAGCAGCGATACATCGTTCAAGAAATTACCGTAGTCTTCATGTGTAGTTATCGATTGAACGTTCACCAAAACGCCACCCAGCAGACGATCGGTGGAACCGGCACGCACAGTAAACAAAGAGGGATCATAACTATTGTATAATATACAATAAATATTTATACACTCCAGCAGTTTAACTTAGTGCGAAAGCTAAGTACTTACGTGTAATAGTTGCCCTGTGCATCGGTGGTGCCAACACAATGTGCCGCAGTCAAAACGAAATATCGACTAAGTATGGAGCCGCCACAGGTGTGTGAGCCATTGCGTCTCAAAGAGATTTGATGGGGGAATTGTCCGTCATAGGCCTCGTCCCCACCCACGACACGTGCGGTCGGACCAGCTTGACTGATTGCAGCACCTAGAAGGCAGATCAAAGCCAAGAGTTGGAATTTTGCCATGTTGAACCGTTGCTCGTGGAAGTCAAAACTAAAACTAAATATTCAAGCACGTAATAGTTGACTTATTGGCATATCTTAAGTATCCATAAAAACTTTTGTGCTAAAATAAATTACTTTATAATGCTTAACGCTAGCAGAACTGGGTAATTGATAAGAAATCTAACGCTTATTTATTATAAGCCAATATGTTCACGCGATAATGTTGACACCACATAATTTATACGCCTAAAACAGCTATAAAATCAGTTATGTATGTGCGGTACGAGTACAATACTTTAAAGCGTCCAAAGAACTATTGACCAAAAACGGAAACTTCTGAGCGATCTTATTGACTCCGATCTTTTAACCGCCGTCATCATATTTATTATTTTTGACTGTGGACTGGACTGAGACGTGGCTTCGAAGATCGTGCGCTTTAACAACGCTGGACTATTTTTATGGGGTAAAGAGGAAGAGAATGTTCGACGCGTTATTGCTGCAAAAAGTGCTCGAAAAATGGTTCTCTCGGTCGGCATTTATTCGAACCAGTTACGGCGGCCACTTGCCCAAAATAATTTTTAAAACATAATGGCACACCATAACATTTATAATACAGCTAAATTCTAAGCCAATTATATGCGTTTTATTTCTTTTTGAAAACCACATGTTTAAGAAAACCCTTTATATGTGTGCAGAATGTTGATGAATTTTTCAACGATCTTTGCATGCATTTTTTAAATCTTTGGATAAAATGAGGTCGATACGACTTAGTAAAAGACCTTGGTATTCTTAATAGACCTCTTTCTTTTTCTCTCTCTCAAGAGAATCGAAAATTGCTTTCATCTACCTGTTTCTACTTACACACGTCTCAAAACAAATAAGCTTTCTGTCTTTGCTCCATCTATGGTATCACTCAACAATGGTATTACCATTAAACCATACCAAATTAATGGACCTGATACTCCTTTCTTGAGGTAGGCATCAAAATAACATAGTCTAATTTCATCTTTATGGTCTGACCAATCCCGAACTCAATGTGCAACTCACACAAACTTTGGAATGACTTCTACCAAATACAATTTGAAAATTCACAGAAATTCAATATAATTTGCTCACAAATGACTGAGCGAAGAAGGTAATGTGCTCAATTTGCACTATATAAAACTCATTATCATTATTTTAATTTAAAACAACTTTTAATTCCACAATAAAAGTACAAAAATTACTTAAAACATAGTGTCCCAACCCAGTTCAAAGCTCACAAATCTGAGTGCTCCTTAATCCAATCCAAATGCTTGAAAACCTTCGCGTAACCATCTGGATATTCGCTACCACAACCACTTACCACAAAACTAGCCACACCCACCAGTTCACCTTGGTATGTAGCCGGACCGCCGGAATCACCAAAGCAAGCGCCATTATCCACCGGATGTCCCAAACAGAGCAGCGCATCACTAGCCATACCGATTCTAGTTAAGCACGATAATCTCGACAGAGTTTGAACAGTGTTCCATTTTAACTTGTTAGGCGCATAAGCATTGGTCGCCGTATAGCCCCAACCGGAAATGATAACACTTCCACCGGTTGGCACCTCAGCACTTGCCAATGGGATTGCCTGTATATTTTTGGAGAAAATTAGTGGTGTTTCCAAAGTGAGTACGGCAAGATCGTGCAAAAAGTTGGCATAATTTTCATTCACAACAATATCCGTGACCTTTGTGAGCACACCGCCAAGCAGACGATCAGTGGAGCCGGCACGTATGGTGAAATGTTCAGCTGGATAACTGCAAAGCATGTCATAACCATTAGTATTTCACTACTCAAAAAAGTGCTTCAATAAAAAGCTCACACAAAATAATTGCCATCATAATCCTCATCGCCTACACAGTGCGCCGCCGATAGCACGTAACGTCGGCTGATGATCGAAGCGCCGCAAGTATGTGAACCGTCATAACGTAACGACACTTGGTAGGGGAACGATCCTTCAGCTGAATACTCACCACCGACGATACGTCCACTAGCTTGCGGTTTCGCGCTCACCCAGGCGATTAGCCCAAGGCAAAATAGGATTTGGAAGGATATTCTCGACATACCGTCTTAACAGTGGGTGTAACACGAACTAAATTTTGTTTAGTTTTTGCAATTCGTTTTTATGCTCAATCAGTCTCAAAAATATATATATTGCTAATTAAAATATTATAAATTATCTATTATCAAGGCGTAGTAAATCAAGAGATTTAATTAATTTCCCAAACATATAAAATCAGTTGAGCTTCTGCGATCTATATTTAAGAAATCTGTGATAACCAGTTTGTTGCATTTTTTACGACTCTGGCGATTAGTTCAATCGCAAGTCGTTATGGAATTTCCCCTCCCTTGAGCGTCAATAAATTTTTGAGTTGAAAAAAGAAATGAAGTGTGTCTAACCTGCGGGCAAACCGATTTTTAATCTAATCACGTAATTGTAACATTTTATTACGCAAAAGCTTTCAATTTATACGCTATCAGAAAATGTCGAAACTTCATAAAAAGCGTAGAGATGAGTTTATTGTATATCATGACGGTTCTGCTCCATATATCAAAATCCATATACCGCAGAATCTCAGATCTAAATGTTCTCTGATTTTCAAAATCAATTTTGAATGAAATATACGAAAATGATTTCGGCGAAGATAGAGAGGAATAGGCATATTTTAGTGGTATTTCCACTTCAGAAATGAATTGTGTATTAAATCGTTTCGTAAAGGCTATAATCTTGCTATCAATTTTCAGCATAGCCCTGAAATGAAGTCGTATTCCTCTAATCTTAATCCTAAAATATTTATTATTTATAACAACGACACTAGGTAATATGGACTAGCTGATAAATACCTAAGGTATTTGATAACAGTCTCGTTATTAGCAACACAAAACCTTTGTGCTTTTCCCACATTATCTCTACCAAAACACTCTTCCCATAAAATTTTTTAACTTTGTGGAGTTTCTTCAAAATTGGGATGTCTCTCTATTCCGCTCTTTAATGGCTTAACATCGTAACAGCTTAGACTAACAAAGCCGATAGAGAACACAGAGAGGGAGAGAGGAATATGTATATAGAGACGGATGGTTTTCCCACTGAATAATGCAAGACCTTCAAGGCCGACAACACCGACAAATTAAAGTTTTCTGAATAGACAATTTATGAACTAGCTAAGTGTAAGACTGCTGTCCACAAGATAAATAATCAGAACAAAAGTAGCACCTAATCCTGTCTTGTATCTTTTATCAACTACTTCTGCCATAAGATCGACGATTTTTTGATCGATTTTGGTTAGAGAATGTAAGGTATTAATCTCGCAAGCGTCGATACATTGATATTTCGATTTACTACAAGACAGATAGGCTTACAAAACGGTGTAAAAGTGGAACCGTATTCTTTAGTATCGAAAGCTAGGGGTTAAGGAAATAATGTCCATCATTAAGCTCATTATGCTGGGATGATAAGGGTAGGAGCTCTGTGAGGACCCCTACAATTTTACCAAGTTCCCTTTTGCCTAAAAGTAAAATCTATTTGGTCTGTCAACCATCAACGCTACCCCAAAGTACATTTGTGGCATGCGCTGTATTGTATTGCTAGTGTTGCAAGACCTGAGGTGTTCCTCTGGGGTACATTTCTTCAAACAACCCCTAAAGGAGCTGAATGGTCGTCTGTTCCTATAAGGCTGGGTACCGAGATGATATTTAACGAGTTATCAACTGAGAGTCTTGTTATTGCCTCCTTACATAACCTAACACAGTGAGACTTAGTAAAGGTTCTACGGTAAGCTTTAGTTGCCACTTGGGTGTACAGTAGAAGATTTATGGACTTGCTGGTGAGAGCAAAAGCCTACTTGGCACCTTCTGTAATGCCAACAATTTCGGCCTGAAAGACAAAATTACAGTTATTTATGGCTCCTATTCCTATTTAACCCTTTGATCCGTACGTGAATATGAAGATTGCACCGTTTAAACAATCGATCACAGAGCCATTGATTAATTCTTCCCTATTGGCTAATGAAAACGTTATGTGTAATTTCTCATGCATCTCCTATTCTCAATCGCATTGCCTATTTAGCCCGAGTTCATTAACGAGTAAACATTGTATCATACTTCATATTTCGATATGGGACACTTGTTTAGAGCAAATAAACCATGTGGGGTCGTAAGCCCCCCTTTGGAGCAATGTCTCTTCAGCAAGAGTTTCTGATTCGAGGGGCCTTAATTTTAATCCCGAGATATTGGACAGAGCTCAAGAGTACAATAGTTCTACCTCTTATATATGTTGGATTTATTGCGAAAAGTCCTTTTGTAAAAGGGCAGAATTCTGTTTGCTACGCATTAACCCTCTTCCACGTCAGTGAATGTCGGTAGGGTGAACTCTTATGTAAGGAACTTTCGATTGTCTCAACTGCCTCATGTGGGGCGGTATCAACCGATTTTCTTTTGCCAAAAGAACATAGACTTCAACTGCTAACAACAGTTACAACTTAATTATTTTTCATATTTATTTTACAACAACAATACTCTTTTATATCATATTTTCGTGAATCCAATCGAGATTATAGAATACCTTAGCATAACCGTCGGGACGCGACGTACCACAACCAATGACGACGAAACCAGCAACTCCCACCAATTCACCATTGTATGTTGCCGGACCGCCAGAGTCACCATTGCAAGCACCTGCGCCTCTAGGATGATTCAAACACAACAGAGCATCAGAAGACATCAAAATCTTACGGAAACATTCACGCTTGCTAAGCGCTGAAACGGTATTCCATTGCATTAGAATGGGCAAAGTGTCACCATTATTCTCGGTAAGACCCCAACCGGAAATGATAACTTCAGCACCAGAGGGCACTTCACCGGTGGACAACGGAATTGCTTGGATTTTCGATGAGAATGTCAAAGGCTCCTCCAACTCCAACAAAGCCAAATCATTTTCGACGCTAGCATAACCCTGATGGACTACGACGCGCTTCACTTGCACGATGACGCCGCCGGCAATGCGGTTGTGGGTGCCAGCACGTATGGTGAAATATTTAGCATCATAACTGTTTCGAATTAAAAATGATAAATAATATATAATATTAATATCATACCCGTCCAATATACACTTTCTACTCACGGTGTTGTGCCACTTTCGACCACACAATGCGCTGCTGTCAATATGTAATTGGAAGCGATGATCGAACCGCCGCAAGTGTGGCGATGTTCCCTACGTAGTGAAATTTGATGTGGGAATTGTGCTGAAACCGCGTCGAAGCCACCCACTACACGTCCCGTGGGATTGGCTGTAACCGCCACGAAGGTGACTGCAAAGAAGGCTAAAAATTGTAGAAAAGCCATTATGGGCACGCGAATGTGTCAAGAGCGGTAGACAGTGGGTAAATAAAGTAGGCAATACGTGTTTCAATAATATTTATACACAGTCGTCAAATATTTGATTTGGACCTATAAAATGCCTGCACACTTACTTGTTATTGTCAAACTTTATCAACAAATCTTATAAATCACTTAATAAACGACTAATGTCATAAATGTAGATTAAAAACATAATATATAACAAATCTGGAATTTCTGAAAGCAACCCCTTATAATCAGCTAGTCAAACGAGGCATAGTCCGTACTTGTCGATAAATAGTAATAAAGCAATTACTTTTCTCATGTTATTACTACTACTTCTGGGTATGTACATAGCATAAGTATACTCTTTATGGTATATGACCTGGAATTTGAACTCCTCATCCACGTTCCAAGTGAATCTTCGTTTATTTATTTTATAGTTGCAGAAATCTTTTAAAAGTCAATTGAGACCCACTCGTTCAGAATGTCGCCAAATCCTATTATTTTTATAGCAGTTACGGAACAAAGCGAGAAACTACGATACAAGATACCATGAATTAATCCTACACTGGAACTGTCCACTTGGTTTCGAACCTCTTATAGGTGGGATTATAATGAGACCCATTGTGAAACCAAAGGGGCAAAGATCCCCTTACTCTATCATGTGCTCTCTGAACCACCCTGTGGTCTTGATGAATTTCATCAATTGGAAAAGTTTTACATGTGCAACTTCCGAGACAACGTCGAAACAACCGCGACTGATAGTTGCAATTCGTTTTCTATACAAAGCCTTGCATCCGTATAGTAGATGTTCTACTGTATCTTCTTCTATCTCAATTCATCTGTTTCACAATTACTCGAAATATCACTATATCCAGGAACCCATACAGTTCATGAAATAGGTTGTTAGTTCCACTAATAGATCAAGGCATTCTTTTACCATCTTCAATAAACTCGAAGAGGCTTTAATGATTTCAAATCCGCTTGGCTATCTGTAAATATTAATATGGTATATTTCCTGTTATAAGCACTCTCTTTGTTAGCACAAGAATGCTTCCTTTAATTGATGTGATCTACTTTACTCTGCGCTCTTATCCTCTCGCTTGTCCCACAGGAGGGGAAGCCAATATTGAGGGCCGAAGTTAAGTTCAACATATAATCTGAGCTATCTTATTTCCATGTTGGAGAAACCAATTATTTTCCTATATCGATTTGTGTAGAACTCTTCAACTACCTTCGGAACAATCGGAATGAATCCGACTATCAATTTAATGGACTTTTTTGTAAATCATTAACTAATTTTGCTAGCCCAGTAGCCAAAACATTGGTTTTTGACGACTTCCACTGAGGAGTGTGTTAGCGAGTCGATGGTGTAAATCTCGTGGGTGTATTACATGAAATACTAGTCCTTAGTCCTATAATGTAATGCAGCCTTACGTAAGAAAGCTCATGCTTCCTCACCCAGCAGCAAATCAGTCTTGTAAATATTGCTTTCAAGGTTCTAAGTTAAATTACATTGGTTTAAACGGGGAACGAACTGATTGAGCCTTATCACTGTAATCTTATTGCGTATTAAATAAATTTTTAATCCAAATTTAACTTCCGTGACCGTGTAAGGCGATAGGTTCCATTAGTATACAAACAGATCTATTATCACCTTCATGATAAGCTCCAATGCTTAGTCCAATGTTCCATACTCTTATCATAAACATCGGCTGGGATGGCCTTCAATGCCTTTAGCAAACTTGTTTTTTTTTTCGTTACAGCTCATTTTTGGAGCGCCATTCGCTAGATTGTTCGACTGCTTCGACGTCATATCTTCTGTTATCTCTCTGATGCCAACACGATGATTTTCAAACACTTTTTCTCAACGTTGTCGATTTTATCGTCATTAACAGAAGCGGATAGACGTCTCGCATGAGACAAGTTTATGATGTCTTCACGACCTTACCTAAAGTAGATTTTCTGCAATATTTTCAAGTATTCCATAGCCTTGATTCCATTATAAACACAAAATTTCAGGAAAACTCATTCTTATATACATACATATGTATGTAGCTCAAGATAAGGGATTATTAGAGAGTCTAAGCCTCTAAAAGTATCGGTCGCGGATTTATCGTCGTGAGAATATATAGTCTATGGCTATCTGAAGATCCTCCTTAAGTGAGCCATAGACAACGAAGCTTCAAGTAGAGAAACCCCTAAATACCATATATGTATATAAATTTGTATACCCTGAACGGTATATATTAAGTTTGCCACAAAGTTTGTAACACCCAAAAGTGTGTCAGCAGCTGAGTTTATTGAGCCATGTCCGTCTGTCTGTGTACATATACGAACTAATCTCTCAACTTTTGAGATATCGACCAGAGAATTTACACACGTTTTTTATCACCTAGAAGCATATATCTACCATATGGAAAGCCTTTTCATTTGACACGATATCTTAAAGAAATTTGGACTGATTATTATCTAAGACAGTAAAGCAATCTCCGAAGAAATTGTTCAGATCGGACCACTAGGACATATAGCTGTCATATAAACTGACCGATCAAAATCAAAAGAAAGATCTTTTCATACCCTTTTATGCTATAAGAAATACACCTGTGAAGGGTATTATAGTTGTATAAGGTTGATATTTACCTTAATACCTCCTAACTTATTCATTATACATTTTAAAAGCTGTATAGCATATACATAATTTTATTATATATTCGTCAAATCAAATAATAATGACACTGTCTTATCGCATTGATAATGATGAGTCCGTTTTGATAATGATGAGTCAGTTCAATGTTCATCACTTTAAAGAAGTTAAAATGACTTATGAGTTTATTTATAAATATTAACTAAAACGACGATATTCAATATGCTGATTATTTCTGTTAGAAATATGAAGCTAGGACACATGTAAGAGAAAATGAACTGAGAACTTTTCTGGCGACGTCAGACCAACTTTCAAATTGGCCAGCTGTGATTGTCATCACTTACCGCGCTTTACAGAGTATCTCAATAGAAAATAATGTTTAGACAATACAGACTAAAAAACTGTATTCCCCAAATGGGAATGTTAAAATTGAAAAAGTGTACTTTATAGCATGATAAAATAAAACAAATGACGAAAAAAAGAGATAAAAAGTGCGGTAGTTAGTGGAAAAGACGTAAGCACGTTAGTCATTGAGTCTTTGCCAATAAATTTTGACACTGAAAAAACTCGCGTATCTCAGACCGGATAAAATGCGTGCGAATATGTGTAGGGCATATGAATAAAGCCACCATAAAATCAAGCTACTATTAAGTTCGATTCTGACACGAGAAGCTTTACGGGTATTAGCTGGCTTGTTTGCTCGCAAGATCACCTACTAGTTTCTTTAATAGCTTGACTCAGAATGGTATAAAATTCTCTTAATTTTATTTTAATTTCTGAGGTCTTACAGACACTTATTACTCACACAGGGGTTAATACATTGGCTTTAAACTTAAAAAAAATGCACACGGTACTATTTATTAAAATATTTCAAAATTTATTCGCTTTGCTGCTACATAATATAACTGTATTGCACCAACTTTTCAATTAATTCCAATTTACAATTGAGTCTGGATCCATTCCGCAAAGTGTGGGACATTCACGAACACTTCTGCATAACGTGAACCGCATGCACCGACCACAAAGCTTGCGACACCAACCAAACGATTGTTGTAGACAACACCATTACCAGCATCGCCCAGACAACTGCCCTCCTTAAGATTATGCGCCAAGCAGAAAGTGGTCTCATCATGCTCGGGGAAACCTTTGGTGCACTCTTCCTCGCTGGCCACTGAGAATGCGACCGATTGCAATTTATATGGTGCCGCGCCAGACGACTGCTCACCCCAACCGGCAACGGATACCGCGGTGCTAACTGCTGGCGCTTGATTAGCGCTAGTGGCAATGGGAATTATGGAGATCCTGCTGCCCACTTGAACATCACTGCTCAACTTTATTACAGCGAGATCATTGTTTATGTATGTGTACGAAGGCTCTACGGCAATGGATTCAGCGTAGATGATCTTACCACCGGCAAACTGATTGACGCTGCCGACGCGCACAGAAACACGATTGGCGGCGACACTGTAGCGGAACAAAAATTATGGATTACTGAAAATGTGTTTAAAATTTGTGGGGAAAATCAAAAAATCTTCACTTAATCGAACTAACTTACACTTGACTGTTGTCGTCGACAACGCAATGCGCCGCCGTTAATATCTGTCGCAAACCGATAATGCTGCCACCGCACACATGCGCACTATCCAAACGCACCGAAACGGCAAAAGTGAACTGACCGGATGCAACATCCTCACCGCCCAAAATACGCTCCGTCAATGTCGTGGCTTGACAATTGGCGACGATGCCAGCGAAAGCGAGCGCGAGTAGCGCGAAATTTACTTTTGAACACATTGCGTTTGCACCGCTACCGAGTTACTGACACTGACCGGACTGGCCGGACCGGCAGTGTAATTATATGCAATGAATTAACGTGGAGATTTTCACACACTCGTACTTGAATTTGCCGATTGATTTTGTTATTGTTGTTTTCTCATTATTATCGGTAACGCTGTGTCGTTGTTAAATACTCGAATTGTTGAATTAATGACCCACTTTTATGGGAGCGTACGCTCGCTTATAACTTTATTTTAAAACCCACATTTATTGCGCTTTACGCGCCTTGAGTTGGCAAATATATTTGCGCCGACCGACTAATCTTATCGCTTATCGGTAGCTGAAAGTTGGTGTTTGATAAAGTTCGGGAATTTCTGACGATAATTGAAAAAATAATCATATTTAATGGTGATTACCACCGGGTAATAATACAACCATTTCCACTATTCCAATTTTGAAATATTTCCTTTTAAATTGATAAAAAGAAAATGGTAGTCTGCTAAGTGTAGATGACGATTTCATTTTTCTAACAGACTGTGAGAATTTTGTATATGAGAAAACTAACTTAAGCAACGCCTTCTAGACTAGAGTAGCCAATTTAGAAAAAAAAACAATCATAGTAGATTGAAACCTTTTGGAATTGAAAAATGAAATAACAAATATGAAAGCAAAATTAATTTACGGGTGATCTAAAGTCGAGAAGAGGAAGGGTTGACTTTTTAAAGGTTAAAAACTATTTATTTCATTCAAAATTATGAGTCCTATAGAAAAAAGTTAGATTACAAAGTTGTAGGTAATGAAAAGATCTACTACCACTTTTATATTAACACTCTTTTCCGATAACCTCAAAATTTATGTGAAAAATTCAAAATAAACCAGTTTTTAGGTTTTTTATTTTTATCTTGTTTAAATAATTTTTTTCTTTCATGAAATTTGATGTAAACTTACTTTCTTATCTCTCAAATACATTGTATTTTTTCATTTAATATATTAAGGAGGAAACGTTATTTCGGCTTAAAATCGAAAAACCTCTAATTTTCATTAAAAAAATCTCAAAACCAAATTTCAGATTTTTTAAAAAAGTTATATGGCTTTATGTTGTTTGAAATTTCTACTTTCTGATGGTATAAAAATGGTAAATTTGCTCAGAAAATGCAAAAGAATTCCCCTCAAAACGAGTCAAAACTGTTTTTTTCCAGCTGCTGCCACGAACTAATAGGTAGATGAAATGAAATAAATAATACTAAAAACCGGTGAAAATTGAGCTCTAAGATCCCATTACATACATACAACCCAAGCTAATAAAAGCATATTAATAAAAAAAAGCAGCTTTAAATCATTGTTAAGTGAGTATACTGAAGACAAAAACTATTGTTATCGACATTCTGCGAGGACTTACATTTCGGTTTAAGGTTTTAAATGGAAACAGGTATTTCTTGAAGCATTAGAGCTCGACATGTTGTGGCGTTAAGAAATGTTGTAAGTTACACAAAACGTCATCAGTTGCGGACAACGACTTGGAAATATACATCATGATAAATTACAGAGTTAAATGTATCAATATTTTTCCAATATTACCTATCATATTATTTTTCCAAGTACCGCAAAAAAATCAACAGATTCTTCCCAGAACAGTTTCTCTACCTTTTTATTTGTTTGACAATAGATTTTCAGCTTATAAACGTTCACAACCAAAGCTCTCGTATCTTAATTTAATCTAGAGAAGGCAGAATTAATGAGAGATCATTGTACAACAGAAGCAATAATAAAAGTTGAGCGAGGAAATATAACAATACATCTATCTGAAATCGAATTGTATATTCAACTTAATCCAAAAATTTCTCTCATCTTGAATATAATTGCATTAAAAGTTCTATACAACTAAAAAACACGCTATACATTTGGCTAATATGCTCTTGATATTGCCGTTGTCATACAGACCTCTCCGTCCGTGTCAACTATTCTTTTGTATACAAAGAAAAAATTGTAGAATATAGCTCCCAAAGAGAAGGAAGGAGAGTTTATTATTATCTGAAGTGCAGAAGCTAGCTTCCTGCGCAAGGGATGCGAAAACCTTACGTAGGACCATAACAACTCAGTAAATGTGATTGGATTAATAAAATGAAGAAGATTTGAAAGAACAATATTTCAAATCACCATAGTTATAAATTTTTATAGAATTCGAATTTTCTCTGTACTTCGATCTTTCTTCGATCTTTAAATATTTAATGCTAACGAACAGGAACAGGAGTGTACTCTTATTTTTAACTCTGCTCTTGGATATTATCACTGCTTTTATATTAACATATCTTCCATTTAAAATTTTAAATGCATTATCGGACCCGACCATATATATTGGTTGTGTAACCACAATTGCGCACAAAAACTCACACATATTAATGCAAATCGTCTAAGCTACAATTCTTGGTTATACTCAAAATACCAACAACAACCAATGACGACACGATGAATTGCTATAAATAACCGCACATCCAGAAACTTTTAATAAGCAATCCACTGACACATTCATAAAAATATATATATTAATATTATAATATACATAAAAAACTTACGACACGCGAACTTTGAAAACTTTATTGCATTATCTACTCTTTTAAGTAATCCAAAAGTACGGAAAAAGAGTATAGACCTTAAGAACAATATAGACCGAGTAACCTTCTCTTTCGACATGGGCATAGTAATGATTGCTCTTTTGTATATTAATATTTCTTTTTATTTGTTCATTTGTGTCAAGGTACACTTTAATTTTTAACATATATGTACACACATGTAGATAAGATTTTTTAAGTTTCACTATGCTTAGCTCGTTGCAGCAATTGTACTTGCAATCCAGCTGCTGTAGTAAGACACCCTGCTGCTTACATCGGGAAATTTAGTGCCACTGCCGCCAAAGAAGAAACTCGCCACGCCCACTAACGTGTTATTAACCACAACACCAGCACCCTCATCGCCTGTCGCGATACCCTGATTAACGCCATGTTCCAAGCACAACACCGAATCATAACCATAACCGGCCTGATATTCACACTCGGGCGAGCTCAACACTTTCAAGGTGGCTACCTTTAATTTGTACGGTGTGGCACCCGACAATTGCAGACCCCAACCGGCAAGCGCCACTTCGGTATCCCCAACCAATGCCTCATCATCATCGGGGGTGGCCAAAGCTATCGCCGCAATTTTATCGGTGAACGTTAGTGGCGTCACCAATGTGATGATAGCGATGTCGTGCAGGAAGTTGCCATAAGATGGATGAATTGTGATCGATTGAACGTTAACAATTCGACCGCCAGCATATTGATTAATGCTACCCACACGCACCGTAACACGCGTGGCGGCAATGCTGTAGAGAGAAAAAAAAACAAATATTTATTAAGCCAACTCGGAGGATCTCATGATCCGCTCTATCTATCTGTCTTCACTCCTTGCACTCACGGTGTGGTCCTCAATGCGGAGAGTCCGTGACCCGAGGTTAATATATGACTTGCATTAATAATATTGCCCACTGCAACGTGCGTATTGTCCACACGCACCGACACGACCCACGGTAGTTCGCCGGTAGTGGCATCGTTACCCTCCAAAATGCGTCCATTGGGCGCGGCGTTAATACCGCCACAGATGGCTAAAATAAAAGCGATTGCGTAGATGCGTGTAACTGCCATTGCGACGAAACTACAACTGTCCACTGCTGAGTTCTTGACGTGTTAAAAAGTCTGTTAATTTATTAGTTCGAATAATATTTTTTTTAATCAACAACAGCGCTAACAGTTTTTATCAAATTGTTGTAGACGGTAGTAATTTTTCGGTGGCAAATAAATTCAAGTTAGACTGATTATATGAATTCGAACATAGTTCTTTCTAATCGGGTCCTAAAACAACTGTAATTGTGTTGTTAAATGTAGGTATTTGTGCAATAACGCGTAAGAATCATAAAAGATCATTATGGGCCTTATCGTTTATCGGAGACCCGTTAAGTTATAGATAACTGTACACATATACGTGATTATTTTGATGCGTAGTTTCCGAAAAAGCGTTATAAGTCAGGGATTGTCAAACAGTTTTTGATTTTTAGTGATGACTGGTCGAATTTTTCTTTAAAATTTGGTCTACGACTTGATATATTATAACATACATAGATGAATTACAATAATTTCACAGTAAATTGTCTGCGTGTAGCTCTTCGTATGTGTATGCTGGTTCTTTATAATATATCTGTTACAACCAAAAAAAAATTCGGGAAAAATTTGGTGACCACTGTTCGAAGCAAGCCTTAATTACCTGATAATAATAAAACGAAATTGTTGCACGTAATTACTCGTTTACGTAGTCAGTGTTATTCGGTGAAATTAGTTATTATTTATGAAATATTCCAGAACTTTGTACGAAAATGAAGTTGCTGAAATATTATATTAAGAGAATCATGGAAATGCTTTAGATCGTAAAAACTGAGAAATATATCCGAAGAAGCACTTCAATCGTGTCTGTTCAACAATTTTTAAGATACCAATCTGAAATTTTACACACATCCTTTTCCCTACAAGAAGCTGT